GGGGATTCTGGGAAATGTAGTCCAGGAGTCTGGGTGGTAGAAAGTCCCTTGGCTGGAGGAGCCTGAGATCGCGGCCTTCCTACTTTGCAGAGAGGTGAGTGAGCATCAGGACCCCCCTAAACTTTTATGGACTGGTTGTGACATTAGTGGGGCCCTCCCTTGTTTACCTGGCTGCATGCATATACCTCGGTAGAGCCTCTTAGCGTTGGGAACAGTTGCTCATCCTGGACTGTGCGGAGTTTGGTGTTACCTGGGCTCTGAGCTAAGCGACTTGCCAGCCTTTACCTACCACTTCCTAGCAGCATAAGGTTAGGCAACAACTTAATCTCCCTGAGCCGCAGTATTTTCTTCTTCCTTTTTATGAGAAGCAATCAGATCCTGCGAGGAGAATCTTGAGCAGGGTACAGAAGCATAACAAAGGTTGATAATACTGTTCACTGCCAGTGGAGTGGATGGCAACTCACAGCGACCTCCATAGGGTCTACTATTCTGAAATCTTTACAGGAGCAGATCTTCCCATCTCCACGCACCCCTCTTTTTGGCAGCCAAGCACTTACACCCCCCAGGCATCTTTTGCTAATCAAAAACAAAAACCAACCCACTGCCATCAAGTCAATTGGTGGTTACATCTTGTGAGTTGACAGCGACTCGGACAGCCTCATCTTTCTCCCTCTGAACAGCTGGTGGGTTGCACCTGGTGGTTAGCAGTCCAGCGCTTTACCTGACAGCATCACAGGGATCCCATTCTCTTAGACTATGTGGAGCCCTGGTAGCATTATAGGTTAAGCATTGGGTCAGAGTTCAAACCCACCTGAAAGAAGAGGTTTGTGCTTCTGTAAAGATGTAGGGCCTTGGTAACCCTTGGGGGCAGTTCTACCCTGTCCCATAGGGTCACTGTGAGCTGGAGTCCACTCGATGGCGTGGGTGTTGTGTTACCCAGAAAAGTATCCCATTCTCTCTGGAAGCTCCTGAAGTGGCATCAACTGTTCACTCTGCTCCTGGTAGAAAAAGGAGATACTTCCTGGACTACTTCTGCCGTGTGTTTAAAGAATTGCGTAGCCTTCAGATGGCCTGTCCTCAAATTTTTTTTGCAGACACAGACTCATTGACCCAACAAGCCTCCTTACCTTCTGCCCCTTGTCTTCTCCAAGCAGGCGACTGAAGAGGAGATGAACCTTGGACTTGGGGCAGTAGAGGCCCACTGTTATGAGTACCTAACATCCCCCTCTGGCTCTGTTCTAAGTGGGAAAAGATCCTTTGTTCATTAACAAATGTTTCTGCTACAGAAGTGTTCCGGTATTGTTGAATCAGTGGGCCAGCATGTGAAATGCACACTGGGCATTAAGAATAGTGACACGAGGTAAACATTGAATGCTAAGAATTATTCTAAGCCTTTCTGTAAATGAACACACTGAGCTTTCCTAAAGGCCCAATGGCATAGTGGGCTACGCACTGAGCTGCCAACTGCTTGGGTCAGTGGTTCGAACCCACCAGCTGCTCTGAAGTGGAAAGATGTGGCTGTCTACGCCAGTCTCGGAAACCCAAAGAGCCAATTCTACCCCGTCCTATAGGTTGCTATAAATTGGAATGTAGTTGATGGCAGTGAGTTTGATTTTTGGAGAGTTGGAAGGTCCCGTGAGATGGCTATTGTGTTCACCTCCGTTTTATATAAGAAGAAATGGAGGCAAGAGGGAACTGAATAGGAACAGAACGTGTGTTTCTTTAGTCTCCGGATGATACCTTTGGGTTTTACGGTTTCGTATACCAAAATCAGAATTAGGAAACAACATAGAAACACGTCTCTGTAAATATTCAGCCACAGGGAAAACGACTCCAGAGAAGCCATTTGGGGCCAGGTGGGAGAGTGTTCCAAAAACAAAGCTCTCTAGGTTGGGGGTTTTTCAACAGAATGTTCAAAGCTATTGCGTTTCCTTTTCTTATCCGTGAAACTTAGGATTCATGTTCTGATTATGGAAGAACTGCTTGCGCATTGCAGGCAAAAGCCAGATGATTAATTCACTGTTGTTGTTGTTGTTGTTAGATGCCAGCCCTTGGCGCCCCTATGCACTACAGAACAAAGCAACACTCAGTCCTGCTTCGTCCTTACAATGGTTCTGTTTAGTCCTAGGGTTGCAGCCACTGTGTCAATCCATCTTCTCGAAGGTCTTCCTCATTTTCGCTGCCCTTTTACTTTGCTAAGCTATCATTAGGTGCATCAAACCATGCCCACTCCCTACCACCACCCCCACTCATGGCTAACCTGTGCACAATGGAATTTATGGTTAAATAGATCTTGTAGTACCCCAGGTCGTAGTTGATTTGTCTTTATTTCTATGCTCAGAGTCTTTTTAAGATGCCCATGGTAAAGTAAGGAGCTTTGGGGGGCGCTGTTGAATAGGCGTTAGACTGCTAACCTCCAGGTCCTTGGGCCAGCTGCTCCTCCGAGAAAGATGAGGCTCTGTTTCCGTGAAGGTTTACAGCCTCAGAAACCCTATAGCAGTGATTCTCAATCTGCCTAATGTCACGATCTTTTAATACAGTTCCACATGTTGTGGTGACCGACCCCTGCCCCCCCCCCCCCAATCACAAAATTAGTTCGTTGTTACTTCATCACTGTCATTTTGCTACTGTGATGAATCGGGCGACCCCTGTGAAAGGGTCATTCAACCCCCAAGGGGGACTCGACCCACAGGTTGAGAACCACTGCTATCTAGGGTCATTCAGTATGGGTCAGAATCAACTCCACAACAGTGGTTATTTGGGTTAGCAAAAATAACAGGGCTTTATTTTATTTTATTTTATTTTCAAAATAGCCTCGCGGGTTGTCTTAAGGAGCCCTGGTGCAGTAGTGGTTATGCATTGGGATGTTTATAGGTAGTCATTGGACATGCATATTCAGTAGTTATATGTGTCAAAAGGTGGGTGGAATCTACAGTAATGTCCCTGAGCTCACAGGTGAGAAAATCTAATTACTGCATTGGGGGAAGGTATAAAGGCGGCTGGGTGACACAGCGGGTAGAGAGAGCAACAGGGTGTCTGCTTCTGTAAAGAGACAGAATCAACCATGTGCTTACTTTAAGGCAGCATCGCTGTTAGGGGAGAATCCGTGGGAACGCTATTTAAAGCAGGATCATGTGCTTGGATCTTATCTTTAACTTACCAAAGTGGTGGTTTTTCTACCATGGAATACTAGCTTTCCAGGTCCCTCTGTTATAAGTTAGGGAATATAGTCCTCATCGTATATCCCTCAGTGTTAGCTCCTCACACGGGCTACTTACCAAAGTAGGATGTAGAATAATGTCTTTGTAGACTCCTACAGAATAATGTTCCAAGGTTCATCCAATTAAGAGCATGCATCAGGCTTTAATTTCTCTATCACTGCGTCACGTCATATGTCCATACCACATTGTGTTTACCCATTCATTGATGATGGACGTTTAGGTTGCTTTCACCCAAATTCATGCTTGTGAGTTTCTCTCCAGTGAACATTGGAAAACAAGAATCTGTTTGCATTTCCTGTCAAAACAGATAATTTTAAGATATGTGGGGGACCAGCCTCCACAACCGAATGGGTCCAAGGGGATGGCTGTGCCATCCATTGTATCGAGCACATTTGTACATTGTTGCCCTCATCATTCATAAAACATTTGCTTTCCGCTTGAGCCCTTGGTATCAGCTCCTCATTTCCCCCCTCCCTCCCTGCACCCTCCCTCATGAACCCTTGATAATTTATAAATTATTATTATTTTGTCATATCATACGCTGTCCGACGTCTCCTTTCACCCACTTTTCTGTTGTCCATCCCCCACAAGGAGGAGGTTATATGTCGTTCCTTGGAATCGGTTCCCCTTTTCCACCCCCACCCTTTCTCCACCCTCCCGGTGTTATATCATGTTTTAATGAAAAACTTTTCCGTCTGTGCTGAAATTGACATTTTTCATTAAATGTATTTGTTTTGGGCACCAGCCTGACATTTACAAGCTTGCTTTATTGGTGCTAGGAAAATTAGTTTTGTAAGGTGGTCTGGTGGAATAGCGGGTTAGTCAATGGGCTGCGAAAGCTTTGCATCTACAGGTGTGCCCCACAACCTTTTAAATTAATAATTCAGTATTGAACCATTTGCACCACTCTGAGACCCTATTGAACTGGCTATCTTCAAGAAATAATATTTGGGGTGAATTTTTAAATGTGGCTTATATTATTAATGTGCTTCACCTACAGACCAGCTTTGTAAGTACTAAACACAATAGTTTCAGCCACAAAGCATGAAGGGATAAAACTGTTGACAAAATGTCCTTCACCTACAGAATCTTTCTAAGCTCTTGCTTGGAGAAGTTAGACAAAATGTTAACTTGCCCAAAATGTTGTATGTTCTCCTTCAAAATGAGGGTATAATAATACCCTGAAATGTTTAAATAAGGAAAGATGGCTTTACTGTAGGGTCCCGGCTCCCCCACCCCCACCCCTGCTCCTTTCCCCAAATCCCGAGGGTTAGCTTCGTATCACTTTATACCAACCATTACCATCCGTAATTCAGTTACCGCCTGCCTCCTAAGGAAAACATTCCGTTAACTCCCTATAGATTGCATTTCCTAGATCCAGGTTCCCTTACAAACGAAACAGGACTATGCTCTGAATGAATTTTCTTTTTCCTTTGTATAGTGCCTGGGAAAAGGGAGTATTCGTTCTCGGTGTATTTAAAGCACATTATGCCCCAGGGCGGCATTTGAGATGTAGGCCTTTGGCCTTGTGGGCGCTGCAGTCCAAGAAATCCCTTTTATCTGAATTATTCCCTCCCCTGCACGGATGAGGCGGTGGATGGGTGCTCCCTGGGCATCCTGGGAAGTGTAGTCCTTGGAGGACAGGTGCCTTCTGGGAAATGTAGTCCAGCCGCGCTGGCGTCTCGGGCATTTCCGCCGGAAGGGGTACGCGTCTTCCGGTCTTCCTGGTGCTGCTTCACCTCGCCACCCTCCGAACTTCCGGGACCTGGACCTGGACCTGGACCTGGACTCGGTTAAGGGCCGGGACATCGGGTTCGAGGCCAAGAAGTGATGACGCACGGGGAGGTCTGAGAGGCCATTCTGGCGGCTTAAATCCCCCGGGCCATCCGCCTGCTCCGGGGCCCTTTCTGGCATCGCGGCAGGTAACGGGTTGGGGCCTTTCCCCCGCGGTTTAAGGATCTCCTGGGCTCCCGGCTTCCGGAGGCCACCGCCTCCCCGCCCGAGGGCGACGGGCGCCGGTGTCCCTAAAAGTCGTGCGACAAGAGTTGGTGGCAAGCGATGAATGTTGATCCCTGTTATTACTCGTGAATCCACGCCCCTCCCCCCAACACAGGTCGCCGCGGCCGTCGATCGCGCCCCCACCCCCCCGTGGGTTTCCGAGGCTGTAACTGGGGAGCCTTGTCCGTGTCCCGCGCGGCCGGTGGTTAGTTTCCCGGGGACTTCAAGACCCGCTCGGTTCCCGGGAAGCCCCGCATCCAGGGGAGGGGCAGCCCTCCCGGCCGCTGTGGCCTTGACCCTTTGCCCTGACCCCCGGGGAAGCTGGGTCTGCACGGATGAGCTGGCCCCTTTCATTCTAGAAAGTGTGCCCTCCAGCTGGTAGCGGGTCTGGGGAATTAGTGGTTTATGGAGGGCGGCGATGCAGCCTCCTGGCCTCCGGGAGCCCCCGGCTTCTCTCTCAAAAGGGGCAGCGGGGAGGCGGTCACGGCAGCGGGATCCCAGGTGAGTCGGACGCAGCGCTCTTTTCTAAAAGCAGGATTTGCACATCAGTGGATGGGCAGCAACTCAGGAAGCGTTGCGCCACCAAGCGTCATCCGCGTGGCTGAATGGTACCCGGAGGGAGGGTTGAATTGGCGTCTTTGGGCTGTATTTTCTCAAGGACAAACGGAACTCATTTCAAAATATTTAAAGGGGAAGGGGACACGATTTTCAAGTAAATCTTAGCTTGTGTCTGACTTATACTTCCGTCTGAGGAAGGATGAAAATTAAGCTGTAGGGCAGCGGTTCTCCACCTGTGGGTCGCGACCCTTTTGAGGGTCGAACGACCCTTTCACAGGGATCGCCCGATTCATAACAGTAGCAAAATGACAGTTACGAAGTAGCAACGAAAATAATGTTATGGTTGGGGGTCACCACCACAGGAGTAACTAACTGTATGAAAGGGTCGCGGCATTAGGAAGTTTGAGAACCAGTGCTTTAGGGAGAAGGGAGGGGAAAAAGTGATACCAAGGGTTCAAATAGAAAGTAAATTTAGAAAATGATGATGGCCATGTATGGACAAATATGCTCGATACGATTGATGTATGGATTGTTAAAACAGCTGTAAGAGCCCCCAATAAAACGATCTTAAAAAAAAAAAAAAGGAAAAAACACTTTAATTGCCAACTTCCATCTGCAGCGTTTTATGCGGCTTTATACAAGGATGCCACTCTGGCCATATGACTGGGCCCTGGTGGTGCTGTGGGTTAGGTGTTGCACTGCTAACCGCAAGGTTGGCAGTTCAAACCCACCAGCTGCTCTCCAGGAGAAAGATGAGGCTGTGCGGTCCTGTGAAAACAGACTTGGAAACCCTTTGTAGGACCGTGCTTTGAGTTGGAATGGACTCGGTGGCAGTGGGTTTGGTGGCTCTGTGAGGTGGCATTAAGTTTTGCCCTATTTTGACGATGAGAAGATTCCATTATTTACCTTGAGTCACTAAACTACCAGAAAGCAAAACTGAAGTTGGAACACCACCAGTCTGAATGCAGAGCTCAGATTCATCATGTCAGAGAGAAACAAGGGGGCTTCCAAAAGTGCATGGGAAAATTCCATTCCCTTTTCATGCCACGTTTCCATGGATTTCTGAAAGCCCCTCGTGCTCTCCGTGAACTACAGGGAACCGAGGGAAATGAAGTTGATTGTGGGAATCATAAACACAAAGCTAATGGGATTCATTGAACTTCTGCTTGAATTTGGGGGGGAAAAACTTTTTTCTGACCTCTTTCATTTGACTACAAATAATATTTTGTGCTTGTATTGAGCCAGATCATTGTGGAGAATTCAGACAATACAGACATGTACAAAGATTAAAATCTAACTCTGGGCTGTAAAACTAGCAAAGCTTGAGGTATACATCAGTGTAGTGGTTCTTTTGTCTGTTTATCTACATAAATGTTTCTTTCTTTTTTTTTTTTTTTATATAAATGATTCAAATTGGCACCATGCTTCCCATGTTTTTACCCTTACCTTCTTAAACTCTAAAATGGTCCAAACATTGCCAAGAATAAAAAAAAGGACTGATATTTATCATCTAGCATCATCATCATTCATTTTATTATTGCAATGACTATTCAGATTTTTTTTTAAAAAGTTCCTTTTTTTTTTTTTTTTTAAACTTTCCCTTTTTTTTTTTGGGACTGAGACCAAAAATAACTTTATTTCCCTGGGAGGCTGGCGGCTCAGAACTTCTGGAACTGCTTCTTGGTGCCCGCAGCCTTGGTGACCTTGAGCACGTTGAAGCGCACGGTCTTGCTCAGGGGCCGGCACTCGCCCACCGTGACGATGTCGCCGATCTGGACGTCCCTGAAGCAGGGGGACAGGCGCACGGACATGTTCTTGTGGCACTTCTCAAAGCGGTTGTACTTGCGGATGTAGTGCAGGTAGTCCCGGCGGATGACAATGGTCCTTTGCATTTTCATCTTGGTCACCACGCCAGACAGAATCCGCCCTCGGATAGAGACGTTGCCGGTGAAGGGGCATTTCTTGTCAATGTAGGTGCCCTCAATGGCCTCCTTGGGCGTCTTGAAGCCCAGGCCAATGTTTTTGTAGTAACGGGGGAGCTTCTCCTTGCCAGTTTCCCCCAAAAGGACCCTCTTCTTGTTTTGGAAGATGGTCGGCTGCTTTTGGTAGGCACGTTCTGTCTGAATGTCCGCCATCTTCCCGGCCGCCTGGAAAAAAGAAGGCTGCGGAGCCACTGGAGTCCCCTAATCCTAAACTTTCCCTTTTTTATGTCATTCCAAACCTATGGGAAAATTACGAACATGCCTTACATAATCCCCAAATTCTGTTTACCTAGATTGACAAGGTGTTCACATTTTGCTTATTTGTACATCCGCTAAGTACTATCAGAAATATGCCTGAAATTAAAGGCATATTGTTTGAAATATCTGCAGCAAGGGGGAAATGATGGAACATCTTGATAAGAGACAGTTAGAGGAATGAGTTGTCCGGTTTGGGCGTAGTATACTACTGTATATGCTTTTAGATGTTTTATTAGATAACAATAGTTCATGGTTTTGTCTGTTGGATACCAGTAGATAACATTTAATAGTAATTTGTTGTTTTGTTCCAGTATGGTCTTTTGTTTGTTACTGTGACTTAATGGTGGTGTAATGGGTTAAGAAGTGGGCTGCCAATCACAAAGTCAGCAATTTGAAACCACCACCCTCTCCGCTGGAAAAAGATGAGGCTTTCTGGTCCCATACATTTTTATAGCCTCGGAAAACCTACAGGGCCAGTTCTACTCTGTCCTATTGGGTTGCTATGTCTTAGAATCAACAAGGTCGAAGTTATTGTGAATTAGGTAAAGGGCAGATCATCGGTTTTAATTCAATAATCCATATCCAGTAAAATCTGCTCTAAAAGTACTCCAGCTGAGTTTATGGTCTCATTTATTCATTGCTTTTCAGTGTCCTGTTCCCATACCAAGAGTCGTACACACTGCCATTCATTTAATTCCCCTAGCAACCCTAAAGGACAGTGTAGAACAACCCCTGTGAGTGTCTGAGTGTCCTGTCAATCTTTACAGGAACAGGAACAGCCTTGCAGTGACTGGTGGGTTCCAACTGCTGGCCTTGTGGTTGCAGCCCAATGCATTATGTACTATGCCACCAGGACTTCTCATTTATTTTTTAAAAAATTATTTTATTGGGGGCTAAGATCGTTTATTGTGCCAGCCTGGCCGATAAACACAAGTGGGATTAACTGAAGGGCGGTGAGATAAATGGCTCAGTGAGCCTCGCCTTTCTTGTCTCTTGCTCTTTGATCATTGGATCAGTGTGCGGCTGCCTTGCTTGTTCTGTGCCTCAATTTACAGGCTACACTACCTGTGGTACACCTAGCCTGTGAATTGTGTCACTGTAAGTTGAGTTCCCTTTAAGACATCTCTGGAGCTGGGGACTGGCGATTGGTGACCTGCCTTGTGATTGGCTGCTGTGCTGACATAGCCTAGCTCTCTCTCTATATAGAGGAAGACCTGGCACCAGACTAGACTTGAAGACTGCTAGTGTCTCACAACTCTCTCTCACGGGAGTGAGTTGCACTGAGCCATTTGTACTGCTTTATAATTTAGCTGTTCATTTCTTGTATTATATATTTATCTGTATATGATTTAACAGTTTGTTTCTTGTTATATATCTAATTATCTTTATAAATAAATATATTAAATTATCAGCAATTTGGTTTTATCTCTCTAGAGAACCCTAACACAGGGGCTCATACAAGTCATAGCACAATCCATACATACATCAATAGTATAAAGCACATTTGTACATTCGTTACCTCATCATTCTCAAAACATTTGCTCTCCACGTAAGCCCTTGGCATCAGCTCCTCATTTCCCCACTCCTCCCCGTTCCCCCTCCCTCATGAAACCCCCCCCTTTTTTTCAAGTGATGTCTTGTCACTTTCCTACTGTCGAATTATTATTAGTAGCCATTTTTTAAGGATCCGTTTCTTCTTTATTCAAATAGCGGTTTTATTTCAATACTGACCCAATTCTGTCTTGTTAATTTGCATGGGATGTAGATAATCAAATCATTCTTTTTATAAACTTGATGAAAGTGTACATGTTACAGAATCCACCCATTTCAAGTGCACAGTACCGTGGGTTTTTTTCTAAATACTTTATTGAGTGGCACAGCCATCGCCTTAAATCCGCTTAAAGAAGTAGTACTGTCTTCAATAAGATCTCTCTCCTGCCCCAAGTAACCACTTTGTATATCTGTATACAGATACCTTCTTTATCTGTAGATTTTCCTTGTGCAGACATTTCAAGCAAATACGATCACATAATGCATGGTCTTTGTTGACTGGCTTTCTCACCTAGCCTGGTTTCACAGTTCGTTCATGTTGTAGCATGTCTGCATTTCCCTTTGTGGGGCTGTGTGATTTTTGTATCATAGCTAGGCTATTGTTTGTCCATTCTATGAGGAATCCTACTATGGACACACACAGGTAAGTCTTTGTATAGAGAGTTGTGCATGTGTGGACATGAGTTTTCATTTTTCTTGCATTGGTCCTTTGGCTTCAAAATGCTAGGTCAGTGGTTCTCAACCTGTGGGTCACCACCCCTTCAGGGGTGTTGAACGACCCTTTCACAGGGGTCGCCTAAGACCATAAGAAAACACATATTTCCCATGGTCTTAGGAACCGAGACACCACTCTTCTATCCGTCTCCAGGTGGGTCCGCCCACATGCAGATACACCCACCTACAAGTACCCAGTGTGAAGACTGTTACCCTTGGTACACTATGCTTCAAGACAAAATTTCATGTATTTGTCACTAGAAATAAATATTTCACAATATAAAATTACATTTTTTGTGTGATTCATCACTATACTTTAATTATGTTCCATTTGTAACCATGAAAATACATCCTGCCTATCAGATATTTGCATGACGATTCATCACAGTAGCAAAATTACAGTTATGATGTAACAACGAAAATCATTTTGGGGTTGGAGGTCACCACCACATGAGGAACTGGATGAAAGCATCCCGACATTAGGAAGGCCGAGGACCACTGAGCTAGAGCCATTGGTAGGTCTGCGTGTCACTTTTCAAGACGCTGCCGAACTTTTCTAAGGAGATCTTTTTTGAATCAAAGTGTCTACAGCATCTCCGTCTAAAATCTCCCGGTATTACTAGAAGATCTATCAAGGACCTGCACTAGCACTTTTCTGTTCTGTGTGATGATAAGACCTGCTTCCGACCTTCCTGCTTACCCCTGGAATTTCGCGTTTTCATACCTTTCAGAAAATCACTGTGTATGTCCGCTTGGGGATTATTATTAGGGCAACAAGTTCATTAGGGAAGACTGCCAAGTCTGTGTGGCAGGTTTTCAGTGGTTCACACAGCTTACCACACTTCCCTGGTTGAAATGCTGTTGGTGAGACCAATCAGCATCCCTTGGAATACAGTGAATCCTCGTTTATCGCGGTTAATCGGTTCTAGACCCTACCGTGATAAATGAAATTCCGCGAAGTAGGATTCCTTATTTGTAAATCAAATATTTTCGTAGTTAGAGCATAGAGGACATGAAAAAACACCCTTTAGTCACCATTACACTCGTATTACCCAATTTATTAAACAAAAAAGGGAAAATACAGTAAAACATTTTGGACGTTACAACAATTATTTATTATTTATTATATTATTTATGGCATCTAGTTTACAGTATTACATATTTCACATACAGTATTATTATACATAGTTCTTACAAATACTGTAATCAATGGCGTGCAACCTGCACGATTTTCTTGCCATCTTTGATCATATCCAAAAGTTTTACCTTTTCCTGGATGGTGAGCATCTTCCTCTGGCGCTTATTTTTATTGTCAGAAGGTTTAGAAGAAGCAGCTCGTTTAGGAGTCATCATAGGGCTTAGATAAAATTTCTTAAAAATCGCAAACAATTACAGTACACTGTACAAAAGCAAAAATGCATCTGATACATAGCTCCGATACGTAGCGATGCAGACAGAAGCGTGTACAGTATGAGCCAATCAGTGGCAGTAATGACAGAGCATGCGCTGTTAATGCAAAAACCGCGATAGAGTGAAGCCGCGGAAGTCGAAGCGCGAAGTGGCGAGGGTTCACTGTATCATGCTTTCCTGCAGTGACAGAAACATAAGAAATTCTGTACACGTGAGGCTCCCTTGTCGCAATCCCATCACTGAGGATGCTTACTTCCTGAACTACAGGTGACAGGATGGAGGCAAGGAGATGTTATTAGTTTGCCCAAGATGACACAGCTCAGAACAAGTTATACCCACAAGAAGACACACACACACACACACACACAGACTCAGAGCTAACGCTTAATCGGTGCATTATACTAGCTCAGTGTGTATGGCACCAGAATCAGAGTTGCTACCTTGGGAGTCTTGTGGACCCAATGGCTTGGCCATTCACAATACCCCAGCTTCAAAGCAAACTCACTGCCATTGAATCAAGTCAGACTCGGAGCGACCCTTAGGACAGGGTCCTCTCGGGCGTGTCTGAGGCTGTCCGTCTTCCCTGGAGCTGAAAACGCCATCTTTTCCAGTGGAGTCGCGAGTGGATCCGAACTGCTGACCTTGCAGCTAGCAGCCCAACTCCTGACTCACCACCCTACCGCGGGGTCTTTAATTCACGATAGGCATTCATGAAGGTGAAGGGCGTTCCTAACCACCTTTTCCTGTCTTTCTCTTTCCCATGTTCAGTTTTCCCTGGACTGTGGTGTATCTCAGGACTCCGTGTGCTTCGCCGGAAGTCAGAAGTAAGGAAATGAGTCCATTCAAGGTGAGTGGGGCTTGCTTTTCGGACTATTAAAATTCCTTCCTCCATACTCAGATCGGATACACACTTATCTCTCTTTGGTGGGGAAACTTCAAGGAAAACAAAGACATATTTGAGGACCTCTTGTGTGCTTTGGCTATTTTTTACTTACTCTCTGTGGTTATTGAATTACTTACTACAGCTCTTCTACCTGTAACTGTCATTTGTAACTTCTGCCAAATGACTGAGTAGGACTATGCAACTGTGAGGTGCTCATGGCAACCGAGGGGATTGGCTTTCGTACTTTAAATGTAAATAAGGCATGGGGCATCCTGGGGAAGAGGGACCATGCAAATGAAGTGTATGTAGCTCTTACTTGGGGATTGGTCAGTTTTACTGTGCCATTGCGCTCACTCCCACATCCCAGAGGTGGGAAGGTGTTGGGGGTGCCAGCCCCCACCACTAATCATGGGTCTGGTAGGCGCAATTGTACCGTTAAGGTATATATATTATAATAAAGTCATAGAGAGCATGAGAGATAGAGGAGAGATTGGAATAATGGAGGCAGACACATTTCATGGTAGCATGCTCACCTCAGCCCCGCTTGGTGTTCCACGAGGAGAGAGGGGGAAGGGAAGGAGGACAAGGGGAAAGGGAACAGGGGAGCGAGGAAGGGAGAAGAGAGGGGAGACCAATGAGGGGTCAACAGGGGAGCCCGAGAGAGCTCTTTATTGCTAACCCAGGCCTATATACCTTTGGGGGGAGTGCAAGCCCACTAATTACAGGTAAAGACATATGTCACAGGAAGGGGTTGCACTATAGGTTATACAGCAACGAGAGGGGGACAATCTAGGGATATACACAATAGGAAGAGGCGGGATGGGGGCGGGGTATACATGTGACAAGATGGGCGGATCCTGGATTCAGGATGGCAGCCTAACTTTGGATGTCACTGAGCCGGTTTGACCTGTTGTCTGGATCTCCATAGAAACCATGATCAGTAGGGTGTAAACCCCACCTACAGGGACCAGGCTAATGGCCACCACCCTTTAGGGAGAAGTAGCCCATTGGCCTTAACAGCAGGGAGCGGGGCCTACCTGTAATCTGGCAACTGACCGCCTTCGGAGAGGTAACTTGACAGTCATTTACCATTAGCTGCACGCAGTGTCCGAAGTTTAATATATATTTTGGGGAGAGACTTGGGAGAAATCTTTCTGTTTCTCACAGAAAGGGAGATTTCCTTGTCACCAAGAAAGAACCAAGAGTGAAGTGCTGCTTTGGGATTTGGGGTCCTGGCACTGTGAACCACCTTGACCCAAGAAGCAGAGAGGGCTGTCGCATCTTCCTGAGAGAGTTAAAAGCAGTGGTCACGAAAGGGCAGGAGCCGGAGACCAGCTAGATGTGACATAAATGGCTTCTGTTAGAGTAGCCAGCCTCTAACAATATCACGGGCTCCGCAGGTGTAATTGTAGGGCAATCATGTATAAAGGTCATAAAGTCATGGAGAATAGGGGATGTAGGAGAGAAGGTAAAATAAAGGAGTCAGACACATTTTATGGTAGCATGCTCACCTCCGGGATGGCCATGATCTCAGCAGCCAGGTCCGAGCAGAGAGCGGGAGGAGAAAGGAGAGAGCCTCTTTATTTCTGACCAAGGTCTATATATCCTTAGGGGTGTGTAAGTCTCCTGGTTACAGGTAGCCACATCGGTAACAGGAAGGGGTTGTACAATAGGCATACACATCACAGGAAGGGGATGAGTTACGGGTGTACATGCAATAGGAAGGGGAGAAATTAGGGGTATACATGTGACAAGATGGGTGGACCCTAGTGGGCTCACCTTGTCTCTGGGCTCTCCTTTAGGGAGACAATCCACCATCCTTATCAGAAGGGAGTGGGCCCTACTTAGGGTGGGACAGACTATAAGGTCTGATTGTTCTAGATGGTTGATGACCCTCAGGGAGAATAACCTCTAAGCATCTTGCGTTGAGTGTACATTTACCATCTGTAGGAAGCAGCACTTAGGTTTGGCATATATTTGGGGGAGACACCCTGGGGAAAAACCTTTCTGTATCCCACAACCCAAGAAGCAGTGAGGGCTGTAGCATCTACCTTCCTGAGAGAGTAAAAAGCAGTGGCAGAGAAAGGGCAGAAGTCAGAGCCGTGCAGGAGACCAGCAAGAGAAGACACAGTTGGTTTCTGGGCCCACGGAATAAGAAAGCTGAGCATCTTTGGGCCGGAGGCTCGCTAGATGAGTCAGGTGCCTCTCAGCATGGCAGAGCTAAACAGCTTTGTAGCGCTCGCCCAAACAGGGCAGATGCCACAGGGTCAAAAGGCTCTAGCCAACAGGACCAGGGAGATGCCTGCCTGAGGGCATTGCTGGCAAGAAGGTATCCTGATCCAAGAACTGTATCCTGAGCAGTTTCTAATGCTGAATTGTAACTTGTCACTTCTCTGGTGAACCCCATAATGGCTAATATTGTCTATAAGTTCTGTGTGATCATTGCAACAAATTATCTAACCCAGCAGAGAAGCAGAGCAGGCCGTGGGGAGATGAATGCTTGAGACGGCTGCCTTACTGCTTTCCTGAGTGAATGAATGTCCCCACTGAATACATTCCTCTCTGCTGGTGGGTCTGCAGAGGACATGGTTTTGGAAGATGTCAGTAATAGGATATGATTTAGTCATGTTGATTGTTAACAGGGTGCACGTTGATGGAAAATCTCTCACGGTCGAGAAACCGTATCTGTGAAAGAGTAGACGAAGGTTCAGGCACTACTGGACTGGGATACAGTAGCTGAGCCCAAAATTCCAGAAAGGTTTTGCTATGTTGATCCTTCCAGAAAGGCTCGGGACAAGGGGCTTATCTTATTTTAGTTAAATTTTATCAGCAGCCAGAAAGGAAGGATGGAGCCCGGACCACTTTTGGAGGACCATCTCTGATACTGTTATTCAACCACATCCCTCTTCTCTTCACTATTTAGTGTCCAGCGTTTGCATGCAGATGAGGTGATTGAAAGTACGCTTAGGACAGGAACACCTGAGTCCTCACCATGACATCCTTGCTTTTTGTTGTTGTTGCCTTTTGTTTCTTCTTAATCATTTTACTGGGGGCTCTTACAGTTCTTATCACAATCCATCCAACCATCCATTGGGTCAAGCACATTTGTACATTTGTTGCCATCCTATCAACTCACCATCCTCGCTTGGTAACACTTTCTTAAAAGGGGGTCTCTTAACATCCCTTGATTTGACCGCTGCGTCCATGAGCATTGATTATGGATGCAAGTCAACTGAAAGCCTGGGCAGCTTCCATCTGTTCTGCATTTATCAGTACTCCTGCTTAGTTTCCTGGTTGTGAGGAGTGTGTCTGTGGAGGCGTAATCCATTCTGAGGCATCATCAGTAAGTGTTGTCATTGACATACCCCAGGTCATCAATGAGTCACCCTCCCAGCCCGCTGTCACGTTCCTCCTCCTCCACTCCAGCTTCGCAGATTACACGCTCAGCACACAGATTGCCTAAGTATGGCCAAAGGACCCAACACCCATTCTCTTGTTACAGCACGCAGCCTGCCCGCGTGATGTGTGAACACACATGATCCCCGTACCCAATGGGTTACCTTCCAGCATCAGAACCGCATACAAGTCACCACAGTATAAGTTGACAGATGTGTGCGTGGCGGCTTAATGACAGCTGGAGTTTACTAAGCGCTTAGTGCCACATATGGTTACAGTTGCCATAGACAAGTGAACTTCCCAAAGTTTGTGGGGAAGCGACATTCAGAGATGGTGGAAATTTTCCTCGAATACTTAGATGCTCCTTTGTATATGGAGAAGAGGGAGGGAATACTATCACATTCTGTTGACGTTTGTAAACTTTTTTATAGAGTACGGTCGTTGGCAATATGAAACAAAATGTATGAAAAATTTGCCCAAGCATCAGCATGCAATATTTTTGCTTAAGTGGTTTACTTAATACTATGAGGGCACCCAATGAAAATATAAGGACTTTGATCCATTACCCTCTGCCAGTGAAACTAAGGAAAAACAGTAATATAACCTTGTGTGGGGTACCAGCCCCCACAATCTAACAGGTCCAAGGGGTGCTTGTGTAATTGAGGGGTAAAATTAAAGAGACATCAGACCAGATAAAGCATGTAATTGGTCACCTCCTGGATGGCCATCATCTCAGCAGCCAGGTCCGTGCAAAGAGAGAGAGAGGGAATATATTTCCAATCACGGCACATATACCTTTCGGGGACATGCAAGCCCCCTGAATACAGGTAACTGAAGGGGCTGTACAATAAGCATACTCGTGACAGGAAGGGGACGAGCTAGGGGTGTGCACACAATAGGAAGGGAGGAACTAGGGGCATACATGTGACAAGATGAGCGGACTCTAGATTCAAGATGGCAGCCCAACCTTGGTCCTCTTTGAGTTGGCTTGACCTTGTCTTTGGGCTCTCCTTGAGAGGAACAATCCATTTTCCTTATTAGAAAAGAGTGGGCCCTACTTAGGGTGGGACAGACTATGGGTCTGATTGCTCTAGATGGCTGATAACCTTCAAGCAGTTGACCTCCAAATGTATAGTCATTGACATGTTAGTAAGCAGCACCTTGGGTTTTGCATACAATGTGGGGGGACAACCAGAGGCAAAACCTGTTTCCCACAACGTTGGCTGTTAGAAGAAAAGCCAAGAAATCTGTAAGTTGACTCATGTCTTTAAAAATTCCAAACAACTCCCTTTTTCCATATCCTCCCAACCATGTTAATGCTGTCCTCTTTCAAGTGAATGGTACTTCTAAGACTATTCCTGTGCTTGATGTTTTAGAACTCAGTGACTTTTAAAGACGTGGCTGTGATATTCACCGAGGAAGAACTGGGACTCCTAGATCCCCTGCAGAAGAAGCTGTACCGAGATGTGATGGTGGAGAACTTCAGAAACCTGGTGTCACTAGGTGAGGCCAGCCTCCCTCTGGAGTTCTTTTTTCACACCTCAGAAGTTTGGGCTTTGGGGCTTCTGGACTGGTCATCTGAATTTGGGGAACTGACTCACCCATGATATTTGTATCATACCAAAATGGAGAATACCAAAGTAGCATATTAAATCAAGTACACATGATCTGGTCTTCAGGCCCCATTTTCCTGATGCACCGCCGGCCTTCTTGCCAATTCTCCTTGTTGTTTTTCAGACATCTCAAGGGTGTTTTATGAGTTGAGTATATCTTTTATTGAAACAATTACTACCGATTTGGTGGCTTAAACAACACAGATTGAAAAGAAAAAAAAAAAAACAACACAGATTGGTTGTCCTGCAGTTCTGTAGGCCAGACGTCCAACATGGGTCTCGTTTTCTTAAAATCGAGATGTTGGCCAGTGGGCATGCCTTTGTGGCCACTCTCTGTGGAGAATTCCCTGGCTGCATCTCCAGCCCCCTCCCATAGGCTGCCCGCTTCCTCCCAGTGGGGTCCATATCCTACATTCAGAAAGCCTCGCATTACTTGGCCCATTTTTCTTTTTTTTTTTTTTTTTGGAGGTGTTATAAGAATATTTTAATTTTAATGCACATGGACTCTCAAGCACTCATTGTAGTTGCAATGTGAAATCAAACCAGTTCTAACTATGAGCAAACCGATGACAAGCAAGCATTGCCCCGTCATGAGCCGTCCTCACACCCGTTACTGTTATTGAGCCCATAGGAAGCGTATCAATCCATCTTGGTGAAGGTCTGGCTCTTTTTCACCAACTCTCTACTTTATCAAGCAATCATGTGCCAAAAGTATGGAGACCATCGGACCATTTTTCTTTAGTCACTTTTTCTTTCTTTTTAAAAAAATCATTTTATTGGGGGCTTGTACAACTCTTATCACAATCCATACATCAGTTGAATCAGGCATGCTTGTACATATGTTACCCTCATTCTCTTCTAGACATTTACTTTCTATTGAGCCCACGGTGCCAGCTCTTTTTTTTTTTTCCTTCCCTCTCCGCCCACCAGTCGCTTTTTCTCTCTGACTCTCATGCTGGGCCCTTTTGAACATACCAAGCCAGCCAGATCATGGAGAGTAATCTTCCTATTTTAATGTCAGCTGACTAGCTACCTTAATTCCATTGCCAGACAACCCGTCATATTCTCAGTTCCTGCAAATCTCTACAAAATGCTGACTCATAGTAACCCTATAGGACAGGGTAGAATTGTCCCTGTATGTTTCCAGGATGGCAAGTCTTTACGGGAGTAGAAAGCCTTGTCCTTCCTCCATGGAGAGATTGGTCGTTTTGAACTGCTGACCCTGCGGTTAGCAGACCTGCATGTAGCCATTACACCTCGACTCTCTGCCTGAAGTACTCTTTGACACTCCCAAGCTTCATATTATATAGGTCTCTGCTCAGTTTTAATACCACAAGAATGATCTTATTTAATACACCATCCTGTCATTACTCTCTTGCCAGTCTTATTTTGGCTCAGCTCTTTTGTCTTTTTTCCCCCCCTCTGATGCTGGATCTTTTTTTTTAAAAATCATTTTATTAAGGGTCATACAACTCTTATCACAATCCACACATACATCAATTGTGTAAAGCACACTTATACATTGGTTGCCCTCGTCATTCTCAAAACTCGCTTTCCGCTTGGGTTCCTGGAATCAGCTCCTCATTTTCCTTTTCCCCTCCCCCTCCCTCCCCCCTCCCCCCTCCCTCATGAACCCTTGATAATTTATAAATTATTATTTTATCTTATCTTACACTGCCCGGCGTCTCCCTTCACCCACTTTTCTGTTGCCCATCTCCCAGGGAGGAGGTTATATGTAGATCCTTGTGATTAGTTCCCCCTTTCTACCCCCGCTTCCCTCCTGGTATCGCCACTCACCACTGAACCTGAGGGGTTCATCTGTCCTGGATTCCCTGTGTTTCCAGTTCCCATCTATACTGCTGTGTATCCTCTGGTCTAACAAGGTTTGCAAGGTAGAATTTGGATCATGCTAGTGGGAGTGAGGAAGCATTTAAGAACTAGAGGAAGGTTGTGAGTTTCATTATTGCTACACCGAACCCTGAGTGACTCATCTCCTCCCCACTACCCCTCTGCAAGGGATGTCCAGTTGTCTACAGATGGGTCCCCATCTCTTTTGTCTTTCTTTGTTTGTTACCTGTCTCTTCTCCAGGAATGAAAGAATTTAAGTAAAAAAAAAATTATTGTTGCGTCCTCGGGGTCTAGAATTGTCCTGAAATAATGACAGTTGTCAGGACAGTCTTGTTAATTGAATAAATTTATGCACAAGGCAACCTCACTCTTGTCAGGAAGACATACAATAAACAAAAATGATCTAGGTGTTAGGTAAGAAGGTCATTAGGGACATGTAGAATATAAACAGGATCACAGGGAAATAGACATAGCCAGAGGGGAATTGACCACCCGCCCAAAACCAAAGTTACTGCCATTGAGTCTATTCTGATTCACAGTGACCCTGAAAGACAGAGTAGAACGACCTCTCTGGGTTTCATGTCTGCAACTCTTTATAGGAGCACAAAGTCTCATCCTTCTCTCTCACAGAGGTGGGTGGGTTTGAACTGGTCACCTTGCCGTTAGCAGCCCAACACAGAAACCACTGCACCACTGAGGCTCCTAAGTGGATCATAGGTAGTGATTGTTAATTTTATATTACACTTATTGAATGTACGGAATCCTTTATGCCAATATCTGGTTTGAGTTCTTAGCAGATTATACCTCCCTTTGTAGGAGTGACTTTCAGAACATTTTACTTTTTCCATTTCTTCTCTCCAGTTTTGACTCTATTGTTAAAGATTAGCTTACCCTAGACTAGTTCACTGTTTTGTCCCCTGAAAACTATGATTTTTGTCAGGTTTCTGAGTAGTGCATGTCATCAACTAAACTTTTCATTTCCCATTGTCCTGGAGGAATCAAAGAATCAAGACCTAAGGAAGTTCTACTCCAGTGCTGCTTTTCAGTCAGTAAGGGATAATGTATTTTTCTCTCAGGCACGTACATCAAATTTCTGGAGCCTCCGAGCTCACTGGACATTAGAGTTATTTTCCAATAAGATAACCCACTATTGAATTACACACAAACTGATTAAATGTGTGGAAATGCAAATGAGGAAGATTCGAATGGACTATTCTAAGAGAGAAAGAGATGAGGTTCTCAACTTAAGGCAAAGATTTAGTCTTTGAAACCCGCAGGGGCAGTTCTACTCTGTTCTCTAAGGCCGCTATGGATTTAACGCCAGTCATAATTGACTAGGTAGCAGTGAGTTTAAGGAGAAAAGTGAAATTCTCCTTGGTAAAAATTTGCTCACAAATACATTTTAATATTTAATTGAGAAGTCTAGGGAAAAAAATTTAAAATTTTTTGTATAAATTTGAAAACTCTAAAATACCAATTACGATAAGCCTTTAAGAAAATAACATTTCTGACCTAAATTATTTTAGAGGTGTCAACAGTTTGCTATAATCATTAAATGATAAGTGATTTGTATCAACAAAAAGATTCTAAGTATATGGTGTTCAGAACGTCTAGAAATATTTTCACTATGTAGATATAAGCACTGGTCCCTGTGTGACTTTTGGGATGTATAATATAAACACTAATATGCTAATATTTTAATTGCATTATAACTTTTCCCCAAAGTCGTTGTTGATTCATTTTCATTTCCATCTAAGTTTTATAACTACCTTATTTTATTATCCAAGATTCCATATTGGTTATGGAATTAAATAGAAATAGCAGCAACTTAATAATTTGTATCAGATTAGGATTTTTTTAAAATGTATATCTTGATTTTAAAATTTTGCCTCACACAGTTGATTTAGTTGATATAAAGGGTCTCAGCTCATGCTCATTTATTTGCCTAAGGTTAGTGGTTCAAGCTGTGCAGCAGTGCCTTGAAATAATTGCCTGGTGATCTGCAGCTATCAGAGAGATTTCACTCAAGAGAACCACACTGAGCACCTGTACTGTGTAATACTTGGGATCACCAGGGTCCAAGTCAACCTAAATTCAGTGGGGCCTTGTGTTTGTTAAATGGGTCTCAGCGCTAGGGATTGGGGCCTTCGGGACCTCTCCTTGGTTCTTCACACCAGAGAACAGGACCTGTAAAAACAATAGAAGCAAAACCTGCTATGAATTCCTGAATGTCTCCTGTCCTTTGATATATGTGCAACCCTGAAAAGAAAGTAACCATCATCTCACGGCGTCCCTGAATTTCCTGTCGTTGCAGGAGGCAAAAGCCCGAAGGGGATGGAGAGTGCTCCACAAGCCGAGCACCAGCAGGAGCTTTCTTGCTGGGAAATCTGGCAACAAATCTCAAGTGACTTAGCCAGGTGCCAAGACTCCCCAATAAAAAGTTCCGCGTTCCAGGAGGAGAATGTGGCGTGCCAGGTTGGGACGGGGTTATCAGTTTCTCACTCATCAGAGAAACCTTATCAGATCCATGAATGTACAAAAAGCTCCACTGATGTCTCCAGCTGTGATCTTCGCCAGCAAATGCACTCTGGGGAGAAGTCTCACGCATGCAGTGAGTGTGGGAAAAGCTTCCGTTATAGAGCAGGTCTTCACAACCACCAGAGAATTCACATGGGAGGGAACTGCTTTATGTGTGTTGAATGCGGTAAGGGCTTTAGTCAGAGCTCACATCTGCAAACTCACCAGAAAGTCCACGCTGCTGAGAAACCACACAAATGTGAAAAATGTGGGAAAGTCTTCAATCGTAAATCAGCACTTACCGTACACTACAAAATCCACACAGGAGAGAAACCGTACAGTTGCAAGGAATGTGGGAGGGCTTTCATTCATTCTTCCTATCTTCAGGAGCATCAGAGAATCCACACTGGAGAGAAACCATTCAAATGTGGGACATGTGGTAAAAACTTCCGTCGTAGATCTGCCCTTAATAATCATTGCCGGGTCCACACAGGAGAAAAACCATACAAATGTGAGGAGTGTGGAAAAGGATTCACTTGTAGCTCAAACCTTTATATTCATCAGAGAGTTCACACAGGAGAGAAGCCTTATAAATGTGAGCAGTGTGGTAAGAGCTTCATTCAGCCTTCACAGTTTCAGGCTCATCAGGGAATCCACACTGGAGAGAAAGCATACATCTGTAAAGTGTGTGGGAAGGGCTTCATTTACAGTTCAAGTTTTCAAGCCCATCAGAGAATCCACACTGGAGAGAAGCCATATAAATGTGAGGAATGCGGGAAGAGCTTTAGGATGAAAATTCATTATAAAGTTCACCTGGTGGTCCACTCGGGAGAAAAACCCTATCAATGTGATGTATGTGGGAAGTGCTTCCGTCAGAGTTCATATCTTAAAATCCATCACAGAGCTCATTATGTAGAGAAACCTTACAAGTGTGAGGTGTGTGGGCAAGGCTTCAATCAGAGTTCTCGCCTTCAAGTCCATCAGCTGATACATACTGGTGAGAAACCATACAAATGCGAAGAGTGTGGGAAAGGCTTCAGTCGCCGAGCAGATCTTAAAATTCATTGTAGGATCCACACGGGAGAGAAACCGTATCACTGTGAGGAGTGTGGGAAGGGCTTCAGTCAGGCCTCACACCTCCTAACTCACCAGAGGACCCACAGTGGAGAAAAACCCTTCAGATGTCAAGAATGCGGGAAGAACTTCAGTCGAAGTTCACACCTCGAAGCCCATCAAAAAGTGCATAAGGGAGAAAAGCCATACAAGTGTGAAGTGTGTGGGAAGGGCTTCAAGTGGAACTTGAATCTTGACATGCACCAGAGGGTCCACACAGGAGAGAAACCATACAAGTGTGAGGAGTGTGCTAAGTACTTCAGTCAGGCCTCGAGCCTTCAGCTTCATCAGATTGTTCACACGGGAGAGAAACCGTACAAATGTGAGACATGCAATAAAGTCTTCAGTCGGTCCTCCCAACTTCAGTATCATCAGCGAGTTCACACGGGCGAGAAGCCGTACAGATGTGAGGTGTGTGGTAAAAACTTCAGTTGGAGATCCAATCTTGTAAATCATCACAAAACCCATGCTAGTAGTAAAATTTCTGAAAGAGGTTACCTTGATAAGGATAATATCAGAGACTCCTCACAGGAAAGTAGTTCTATGAAATGATCTATTTTTAAAAATAATTTTCATTTACAACCTGAAGTGTCATCATCATGCCCCAGGAGAGAATGTATTTGCTTTGCTTCTGTGTTTCAATCACAGGACCACATGCCCAGTAATCTAAACAACACACCAGAGAACCCTAGTAAGTGGTGCATTAAGGGCTTCAGTCAGAATCTTGGCATTCGCCACATATCACATAATCGATAAGCCTGGGAAAGAATAAATGTGATCTGGCCTTTAACAAATGATGGGCATGTCTGGCTTGATATTCACTGGAAAGTGTGTCCCCTGCGGGCCGAAACTCAACTACAGAATGATTCAACTTGTAGCATTGGCTAGCACGTTGTGAGGCTGCTCAATACTCGTTTGTAAAGTGGATCGAGAGAAATAGGGTACTTGAACATTTTTATCCAGAAGTCAAAACTTAGAAAAATGAATATTCAAAGAAATATTAAGAATGTAAATCAGAACTGCAGTCTGCCATTTTAATAGGCCAGTCAGTAACCTATTGCAATTGACTCCTGCCCACCCAACAGCCTCTTTTCCCAACTTGGCTTTCATTATTGTTAAGGGCTCTGTCTACTGTTCTGTATTTGTATACAGTAAGTATCACATTCTCTTATCATTTCTTGGTTGTTTTTTTTAATCCCTGACAGTACAGGTTGAAAATGTTTATTAACTTGGCAACTAATTACTGCATATTAAGTATATGAGTAGGTTATCAGTCGTCTTAAGGCAGGGATTTGCCATAACCCTTGGAAAAGATCAAAAATAGTTACCAATAAAATAGTTTAATCAACTTTGAGTTGATCATTATTATCTGTAGTTTTTCTGCATTTCAATCCAGCCTTTGATGTGGTGGCTGTATTATACTGGGTTCTCTAGAGACACAAAACCAGGACACTTAGAAATGTATGTGAGTAGAGAAGTTTATATTGTGAAAGGGAATTATAACAGGAAAGCAGCCCACACAACGGCAGATAGCCTGGCTCAGATTTGTGGGTCAGTTAACATGCTGAAGATCTTTCCAACTCACAGGGCTTCCAAGCCCAGGGACCAAAGAAGCAGGTGGTTGGAGGTTGGGGGACGTGTGGTGAAACATAGAGGCTGCTAGTGCCGCTTAGCTAAGCAGGCCACATTAGGACCCTGTGGTGTGGCAGTACAAGGCAGCTGGTCCGAGTGGAGCAACCAGATGAGTGTTTCAGGTTGCGCACTGGTCCCAGCGAAAAGGAGTGGCCAGGCCTCCACAGCATCTTATATCTAGGCCACACCTCCGTGCAACTCACTAGGCTGCAACCAGCTTGATGGGCTAGACTCCACCCATCTCTTCTTCCAGATGCCATGCTGACCCCAAAATCCTAATCACAGTTGCCTTCTAATTACTGTGCAATGAATATTTTTAAACTGAAATGTTCTCAGGTAGGGACTGTCTCTTATTTGAAGGACATCAAATTTCCTACACCCAAAACAAATCCCCCCAAATGAAAAATTTGATAAGTGTATCAAAAGGATTGCTGGGATGAAACGGATGTTTTTCTCTGCAGAATGCATGGTTTGGGGGAAAGGGTTTTGGGGTTTTTTAAATCATTTTATTGGAGGCTTGTACAACTCTTATCACCATCCATCCATTGTGTCAAGCACATTTGTACATTTGTTGCCATCATCATTCTCAGAACATTTGCTTTCTACTTGAGCCCTTGTATCAACTCATTTGTTTCCCGCCTGCCCCCATGAACCTCTAATAATTTGTAAATTATTATTTTGTTATGTCTTACAAAAGGGTTTGTTATAAGATGTATAGGATGCTTTTTAAAATTTGAGAATTGTGATTATGAGATTAAAATACACCCCTCCCCCCCAAAAAAGACTACCAATATCAGTGTCACTGAAGTTTTTTGAATGGAAGTAACAAGTGTTCACTTAGAGGAATTTTAGTTTCTATATTTGTAATAGCAAGAAGGCATTAAAAAGATGGTATCGAGAGAAATACAGCATCAGACTGCATCTGACTTTTGGGGAAATGGGTTTTATACTCATAAATATGTGTATACGTATGTACCCATGCTTAAGCGTATGTGTCAGAGGGTCGTGACAATTCGTGACTTTCTCTGGTTCTAAGAAAATGTTTTAGCATTTAAAATTTTTTTCAGTTAGTATTAACATTACCCAATCAATAAAGCATGTATAATAGTATTTGGAAAAGTACTCATGAAACCTTTGTAATTAGTACTCTTAAAAGTATGATTGCCCTATATTCTATAGCCTCTAAAATTAAAGTCAAAACAAACTCGCCATCGTCAAGTTGACTCCAATTCATAGTGAAAGGACAAGGTGGAATTGCCCCTATGGGTTTCTAAGAGGGCAACTCTTTGCAGAAGTAGAAAACCTCATTTTTCTCCCTAGGAAGAGCTAGTAGTTGTGAACTGCTGACCTTGCTGCTGGCAGCCCAATGCATCACCATTCCACACCACAACTCCTTAAAGTCAACATGAGACCCCAGAAAGCTTTTCTGTTGTTGTCAGAAATCATTTTTAAATGTAAAAAATTCTCAGATGGTTGACTATGTAGAAAAAAATTGATGCGAGTATATAAATCTCTGTGATTAATTTCTAGGACTTCTAAAATCCTCAGTCCATAACAGGGAAAAGGCAGATCTCAAAGAAAAGAACGAAGAGGGATATGCATGTTTGAAATGTAAAAGAGGTGGCGAAAGGAGTATTTAGGGAGGTAATTATGGCATGGCAGTCGTGAACCCTTTCAGAACGTGGAACCAGTGAGGACAAAGCAGATTCAGGGGTCATCTGTAGAGATTCATTTAATGTGCTCAGTCATGGTTAACTCTGCCCTAACCACATCCACAGGTGAGCATCTTGACACCCACACACACACACACACATGCTTTCTCCAGGTTCTGGAGACAAAATGTTCACATCAGAGTGTGGCTCTAGGGAGAGATCCTGTCTTGCCTATTGTTTCCATTCACTCAATTGTGGTCATGTGAATTACACTACACTTGATCTTAGCCAACAGGCCGAGAAGCGATGTGGTCCTGTGAACGATTTCATATGGCCCGTCTAGCCGTATTTTGCAACTCCTGCCAACTGCCCGCATAAGCAAACAAGCAGACTTCACTGCTGTCCAGCCCATCCCGAATTGTAGTGACCCTCTAGGACAGCGGTTCTCAACCTGTGGGTCACGACCCCTTTGGGAGTCAAACGACTCTTTCACAGGGGTCACTTAAGACCATTGGCAAATACATTTCCAATGGTCTTATTTTCCAATGGTCTTAAGAAGCCAGACACCACTCCTCTATCCGTCTCCAGGCGGGTCCACCCACGTGCAAGTATGCCCACGTACGAGTACCTGGTGTGAAGACTGTTACCCATGCTACACCATGCTTCAAGACAACATTTCATTGATTTGTTAGTAGAAATAAATATTTCACAATATAGAATGACATTGTTTTTTGTGATGAATCACGATGCTTTAATGATGTTCAATTTGTAACAATGAAAATACATCCTGCCTATCAGCTATTTACATGACAATTCATAACAGTAGCAAAATGACAGTAATGAAGTAGTAACAAAACTTATTTTATGCTTGGGGGTCACTACCACATGAGGAACTGTATGAAAGGGTTGGGGGATTAGGAAGGTGGAGAACCACGGCTCAATGACCAGGTAGAGTGGCCCCTGTGGGTTTCCAAGACTAAGTCTTTACGGGAGTAGGAAGCCATGTCTTTCTCCGGAGGAGCAGCTGGTAGTTTTGAATGGCTGACCCTGTGGTTTGCAGCCAATCCATAACCGCTCTGCCCCCGGGGTACCTCTGAATGACTGGATCAGACTAGAAATGTGTGGCCGTAACAAGGGACGGCACAGTTGTGAGGCTGGCACAGGACCAGGCTGTGGCACTTAAGTCACCAGATCAGCGCTGACTCGATGGCACCTAACAAAACCCACAGATGTTACTATGATTGTTATAGCGGTACTTTTTTTCTTCATCCGCAGTAATAGAGCAGTGAGTGGGGACAAAAAGAGTGTATGGATATGTTTAATATCAGACATTTCCAAAGGGTTATACCAGCTGACTCTTCTACCAGTAAACTGCAAATGATCACCTTTTAACCAATATTTGTTTTCTTTAATTTTTAAAATTATAGCTGTCTAGTCAGGATGCAGTGGTCTTGAGGAGTAATTTAACTTGCAGTTTCTTTGGGTGTAATAAACTAGTACCTCTTCATTGGTTGTTGGCTACTTTGACTTACTCTTTTCTAAACTGTTTGCTCAAAAAATAAAGACAAACTCACTGCTAGCAAGCAGATTCTGACGCCTCAGGACCTTGCAGAGCAGATTAAAACTGCCCCTGTGGGTTTTCAAGACTAACTTTACACGCATCTCCTAGTTCCTTAGAGCTCTTTGCTTTTCCACCTCATTTTTATAATCACCTTACCAGTGTCTAGGAAAGCAATGTCAATCTTTAATTATTGGGTTTTAATTGATAGCATAGATTGAGGAAATATTGACTTTTTTGAAACACTGAATTTTCAAGCCATGAATACAATATTAATATTTGTTTGTAGGAATGCCTGTTATACAAGCAGGTTTCCATAGTTTTGTGGAAATTTTGATTTGGGGAGTCCCCTTGTACAAGTATGTGACTGAAGGTAAGTTTGGGTACTGTCTTACTAGTTATGTGATCATGGTCCTATCAAGGGGGTGTGGGTGTGTTTAAGGGAAAGCAGCTTCACTTTTGTTTACTTCCCACTAAGGGTCTTAAAGACCCCAAACCCAGACTCTCTCAGCGCTAGACAACAGTTTTATGGAAACACAGAACAGCAGAAAACCAACAGATCAAGACTTGATAGACCAGGGCCGGGGAACTACTGGCTGTATAAGACCCCTGAAATTGATTCCAGCTAACGTCACATTCATAGCGTTCAAAACACAAAACTCCAAACCCAACTTGCTGCCATTGAGTCCTTTCCAACTCATAGTGACTCCATAGGACAGGCTAGGACTTCCCCTGTAGGTTTCCAAGAGTGTAACTTTATTTAATTTTTATTTTATTTATTTTTAATCATTTTATTAGGGGCTCATACAACTCTTATCACAACCCATACATACATCAATTGTGTAAGGCGCATTTGTACATTCATTGCCCTCATCATTCTCAATAATTTTTTTAATTAAAAAAAACCATTGAATTGGGGCCTATCCAACTCTTATCACAATCCATACATACATCAATTGTATAAAGCACATTTGTACATTCATTATCCTCATCATTCTCAAAACATTTGCTCTCCATATAAGTCTTTGGCATCAGCTCCTCATTTCCCCCTCCCTCCTCGCTCCCCCCTCCATCATGAACCCTTGATAATTTATAAATTATTCCAGGGGCTTAGGTGGACAGCAAATGCTTTGAGAATGATGAGGGCAATGAATGCACAAATGTGCATTACACAATTGATGTATGTATGGGTTGTGATAAGAGTTGTATGAGCCCCTAATAAAAACGATTAAAAAAAAAGCTGATACCAACGGCTCAAGTAGAAAGAAAATGTTTTGAAAAGGATGATGGCAACATGTACAAATGTGCTTGACATAATGGATGCATGGATTGTAAAAGAGCTGTACGAGCCCCCAATAAAATGATTTATTTTAAAAAATTATGAATTATTATTTTGTCATATCTTACACTGTCCGATGTCTCCCCTCACCCACTTTTCTGTTGTCCATCCCCCAGGAAGGAGGTTATATGTAGAGTCCTGTAATCGGTTCCCCCTTTCCACCCCACCCTCGAGTGTAACTTTATGAAAGTAGAAAAACTCATCTTTCTCAGAGTGGCTGGTGTGTCAGAAAGGGCTAACCTTGCCCAGTTATCAGCTGCCTCTAATATGTAACCTACTACACCAGCAGGCTGCTCCCTAAACACTTTATGTGCATCCAAGGATTTCACCAAAAGAGTAGAAAGAGACCCAACAGACTGGGCTTTTTTCTTTTCACCAAACCATATTAGATAAGGCACTCATCTCTAAAATTCATAGAGACTTTAACGAGAAAAATACCTAGAATTAAATTTCACAACAGAGGGCATGAACGGCCATTTCACCCAAGAAGACATTCATGTGGCCAAGAAACAGGGATAAATGCTAATGATTAATAGCCATTCAAGCAATACAAATCAAAACAACACTGAGATATGTTACCCCAGGATTAATGACAATGTTTTAAAAAATGCAAACCAACAAATGCTGGGGAGAAGGTGGAGAGACTGCTGGTGGGACTGTAAAATGGTGCAACCACAGTGTGTCTGTGGGGTAGACCAGTGCCTCACACCATCACGGGTCCAGTAGACGCAATCGTACAGTTATGATACATAAAGATCATAGTAAAGCCATAGAAGAGGAGATAGAATAAGATAAAGGAGTCATACACATTTCATGGTAGCATTCTCACCCAGCCCTTCTTGGTGGTCCACGTGGAGGTGATGGAGGAGCGGGCAGGAGAGAGAGTGCAGCTTATTTTTAACCAAGGCTTATATATCTTTGGTACGGGGGCGGGGGGCGTGTAAGACCCCCCTGATTACAGATGACCACATACGCAACAGGAAGGGGTTTTGCCATTGGCAATGCAAACATTAGGAAGGGGATGACCTAGGGGTGTGTGTACACGCAATAGGAAGGGGAGGGATTAGGGGAACACATGTGACAAGAATGGGTGGACCCTAGACTCAATATAGCAGCCTAACCTTAGTCATCCTGAGTGGGCTCGACCTGGTCTTTGGGCTTCTCCTTCAAGGGAACAATCCACTACCCTTATCAGAAGGGAGTGAACCCCACTTAGGGTGGAACAGAAGATAGTCTGCTTGCTCTAGATGGCTGATAACCCTTAGGAAGAATAACCTCTGACCTGCTTTTGTTGACCTCCAAGTGCTTACCACGTGTAGCAAGCAGCGTCTTAGGTTTGGGGAAGGCAACGTGGGAGAAATCTTTCTGTATCCCACAGCATTGCCTCAAACAATTTGGAATACAAATACTGTATGAACCTCCAATCCTGCTACTTGATATGTATCCTAGAGTAATCAGAGTCAAGAAGAGATACATGTACATCTGTTCATTGTAGCACTATTCACAATAGCAAAGGAGGAAATACCCAAGTGCTCATCAACGGAAGGATGAATAAACTGTGGTATGTACACACAATGGAAAACCCAACCGAACAAAACTCACCACTACTGAATTGATTCCAACCCATAGTGACCCTCTACTGGGACAGGGTAGAACTGCCCCTGTGGATATTCAAGACTGTAGCTCTTTACAGAAGTATAAAGCCTCATCTTTCTCCCTCAGAAGGCCTGGTGGTTTAGAGAAGTTGGTGGTTTTGAACTGCTGACCTTGTGTTTAGCAGCCCAACGTGTAACCACTGTACCACCAGGGAATCTAATGGAATACGAGACAATTTTAAAGAATAAGGATGAATCTGAAAAACACCCCCTAACATGGATGAACCTTGAGGGCATTATGCTGAGTGAAATTAGCATAAAAGTGAGAGGTTGGAGACAGAGGTGCGGAACAGAGATAGAATTTAGCCAGGAATGTGAAGTTGAGAAAGATTTTATTGAGGCAGGGAAAGAACTCCCAGGAGGGAAGGGAGAACAGAGAAGGATGGGGGCATCTTGAGCCCCCAGGAGGGTTCCAAGAACCAACGAGTTAGGTCAGGGAAGTTGTGCCTGGCAGTGAGGCAGTGGGACATATACTGTATAGGACTTGAGACGCATGCACTGTTAAGAGGAAGGGGGGCCTTCTGGTGCTGCAGCTGCGGGTCTGAGTCAGGACGTGGTCTGTGAGTAAATCATCCTGGAACACTGAGGGAAGGGGCTGTACAGACCCGGCCCAGAGAGATAAGTTCTTTGGAATTCTAGAGGCAGAGACTGCACAGTCCAGCTCTGGCCTTGAGAGAGGGGGGAAGAGGCCGCACAGTCCAGCAGGCTGTCTTTCGGGAGAGCTGGGGGAAGTGGCAGCAGAGTCCAGACCCAGCTCAAAGAGTCCACAAAACCAATATTCTATATCCTACTTTGGTGAGTAGTACCAGTGTTCTTAAAAGCTTGTGAACAGCCATCTACGGTACAACTATTGGTCTCTATAGAAAATCAATGAACAATAAAAATTCATGGAAACAATTCGTCCAGTGGGCTCATGGGCCACTTGAGCATCATTCTCCATGACCCTGGGACCAGAAGCACAAGATGGTGCCCATCTATCACTATCAACTGCTCTGAAAGGGCCACGTTAAAACAAGCAAGAGTTTGAAATCAGGAAGGACAGCATTTAACCAAGGACATGGTTTAGAAGGGTTAGGAAAGAGGATTGGGAACTGGAAACATAGGGAGGGAGTAGGATAAGGGGTGTTGCATTGCGGGTGTTGCACTTGGTGAGATGAGATAAATATTGTGTGGTCTCTAAAGCTTTACCCAATTGGTTTGGGCCGGGTCCGGACCCTTTCTCTGCTCCTTTCCCTCCCTCCATAAAATCTTTCTCAACTCCACATTCCTGGCTAAATTCTATCTCTGTTCCATGCCTCTGTCTCCAACCTCACAATTAACAACATTAAAAAAAATCATCACTTGTACAGATTATTTTCTGCTAGAAGATCCAGGAGCCGTGTACTAATTCATCTTATCTAAACAGGTTGGATATAGGAGCCCTGGAGCACAGTGGGTTTCGCTTTGCAAGGTCAGCAGTTGAAACCCACCAGCCAACCCAAGGGACCAAGAGGAGGCTTTCTGCTTCCATAGGGTCATGGTCTGGGAAACCCGCAAGGGCCGTTCGCTATGAGTCGGAATTGACTTGATGGCAATGAGTCTTAATTTTGATTTTGGAATCAACTGAAGTCTTAGGGCTTTGCTCCCTGCCGGTCTTGTGGGCATGAGCCCTACAGGACCAGTGAAGTGAGTGGCGAAACAGGGAGGGTAGAGGGAGAGTGGGTAGGAAAGAGGGAACGGATTACAAGGAATTATATGTGATCTCAGACAACAGAAAAGTGGGTGAAGGGAGACGTCGGACAGGGTAAGATATGACAAAATAACAATTTATAAACTATCAAGGGCTCATGAGGGAGGCGGTAGCGGGGAGGGAGGGGAAAAATGAGGACCTAATGCCGGGGGTTTAAGTGGAGAGAAAATGTTTTGAGAATGATGAGGGCAATGAATGTACAAATGCGCTTTACACAATTGATGTGTGTATGGATTGTGATGAGTTCTATGAGCCCCTAATAAAATGATTTAAAAAAGAGAGAGAGAAAAAAAAAGAAAACTAGATATGCAAGTTCTCAGAATAAAGATTCAATACCTGGGAGAAAAAAAATAAACGAAAGGAGAGTACGCAGGCGCGCAAATCCCGCGGCGCCTGCGTCATTTCCGTTTACTGGGACGCTCTGTGGGATTCTGGGAAATGTAGTCCGGCGGCTCTGAGCTCTACTTCCGCCCCTGCCATCTTTCCCAACGTGGTGGTGTTGCCGCCCGGCGTCTGGCGACCTTTCCTTTTCTCCCAGGCCGGCGCTGGACGTCCGCGACGTTCGCCCCGCGGCTCGGTGCGGACAGCTTCGGCGCGGAAGCCGAGGTTTGAGGGCGGCGCTCGGCGGTTTGCACGTCTCTAGGGGGACCTGCCCTTGCGGGTGTCCGCGGGCCGCCGGGTCGGGGCCGGCCTCCGCCTGCGCATCCTTCGGGACTCGGAGAGTCAGTGTCTTCGCGGCGAGCAGCTGCCACCCTCCCTCTGCCACCGGCGCTGCCACCCCCGTGGTAGATGGAGCTCCGGCCGAGTGACTTGATCTCCCTGTGCCTCCGATCGCACGTCTGCCACGTCTCTTCCTAGCAGCATGGCTCTGAGAGTGGACGGGGTGGTGTCCAGGAGGAGTTCCTGGGTGTCCAGGAGGAGTTCCTAGGGAGTGCCAGCCATTGGCGGTCCTAGCCCACCCGGGGGAGCCTCCAAAGGAAGACGTGGGAAAAGTCAGCTGCACGGACACACGCAGCGTCGCCATGCGATGCCATGCCTGATATGTGATCAGTACTGTCATTCTAATAATAATAAGCTCTCGGTTCCCATACAGCGGTGACCTACCTGGAGACGCCGCCAGGGCTCCACCTGCAGTGGTCTTGTCCCATCGCTCCTGTAGCCTGCAGGGAAGTGGATCATCCCGAATCCCTTCTGACTCCTTTTTAGAAAGAAGGGTTTAGCTTCCAGCTGAGACCAGGTGCACAGGCCCCTGGGCTGGCGCTTTGGGATAGGATAGCCTTTGGGCTGCTTATCCTGAGGTTGGTCGTTCAAACCCACCAGCCGCTCTTGGGGAGAAAGAGGAGGTTATCCGCTCCCATAACAATGTCCAGTCTCAGAACCCAACACGGTCACCGTGAGACTTGGTGAATTGACTCGGTGGCCAGTGGGTTTTCGAGCCAGGGAGATGGGTGAGGCGAATTAACTGTTCATCTGGGGCAGTGAAGCAACCGTGTGTGTGTGTGTGTGTGTGTGTGTGTGTGTGTGTGTGTGTGTTATTTTCTTAATCATTTTATTGGGGGCTTGTACAACTCTTATCACCATCCATCCATCCATCCATTGTGTCAAGCACATTTGTACATTTCTTGCCATCAGAAGCAACCATTATAATTCAGCTTCCTTTCCTTCCTCACCCCAGCTTCTCTAAATGAACTGCTCAGAGGTAGAGACCCTGACTGACTGGTGGCTGGCAGCAGAAGCCAGGTGGGTAAGATCTGTGCTTTTCCACAAAGGTACACAGCTCTATTGTACAGTATGGGCGAAGTATTCTCAGCTGTGAATAATGATAACAATAAAGCTTTAACTTTTCTTTCTAAGGGAGTTATACCAACGAATGCACTGATACTGATACTTCATGGTAGTTTTATGAGGTGGTACTTAAAAAAAACAACTATTTTTATTGTTCTTGGGAATATTCACAGCACCACGTACACCTCCTGTTTCTGGATGCACAATCAGGGTCATTGATTACATTATCCAAACATTATCAGTTGTTCCTTCCTAACATGAACTCAATGCCCTCCCAAGATTTCTGTCCAATCCTCGGAGTTGTCCAGGTGATCCCACATAGATGGTTCTTTAAAGGCTGGAAGGCTCCATGCAGACCGTTTTTACTAGTTAAGCTAAACTGTGACTTGCTTTTAAGAACCCCCCCTCAGGATATATATATTTTTTAAATCAATTTATTGGGGCTCATAAAATTCATCACAATACATAGATCAATTGTGTAGAGCACATCTATGCATTTGTTGCCCTCATCATTCCCAAAATTCGCTTGCCTCTTGGGTTCCTGGAATCAGCTCATTTTCCTTTTTGCCCCCTTCCCCCTCCCTTCCTCTGCCCCCCTCCTCCAGGATATTTTTTTATTGAAGGTTTAAAGTTGATCACAGGGCAGTATTTGTAGGGCTTCACTCACCCTCCATGAGTCCAGAAAGTCGAGCGGGTGATCATTTGAAGTTCTGTTCTGCGTTTCCTCCTGTTTTGGATCAAGATTTTTTTCTGTAGTCTCTTCGATCAAAATGTTCAGTGATGGTAGCCAGGCACCGGTTCTTCAGGTCTCGTGGCAAAGGAGGCAGTTGTTCATAGTGGCCATTGTCACCCATTCCTTACATTCCTCACTCCCTTCATCAGCTGGCCCGTCAGACAGACAAATTGTCATGCCTTGGAGGCTACTTGCAAGTTTTTAAGATCCCTGACACTAAACAGAACAGAAGCACCAAATGCTAATTTCTCCTGGGCAGATACCTAGGCACACAGCTGCTATCAGTAGTTCTATGTTTAACTTTTGAGCAAATACTGAACTATTTTCAGGCAATATTTTTCCTTAAGTATTCTTGAAGGTTTTTTGGGTTTTTTTTGCTTGCTCTAAGCAATAACTAATTACTCATGTTTACCTTTCCTCTGTTCACAGAGATAAAAAGATCTTTTCTGCTCCAGGATAGAAACGCACTTGATTTTATCATTTTAGAAAAGTTATTGATGCTAATTAAAACATTGTGCAGGCAACGATTCAGGAAGACAGTCAAGCCGATTCAACAGGTTTTGTTAGAGGTCACACATGACCTGCACTCGACAAATCATGGCAGAGGTCCATCTGGCAGACCTGTGATAGATACTGCCTTCGTGAGCCCAGAGCAGCATACGCTTCTCTCTAGCTGCAAAGAAGGAAGAGCCCCGGTTGCCATGGGGGCTCTGTTACTTCCTGATTTGCAGAAGACAGAATGGAGGCAAAGAGATGTTATAATTTGCCCAAGAGGATGACAGCTGGTGAGACGATCTGCCAAGAGAGGAACCCACATCTTGTCGGACCCCAAAGATGACTCATGCAGTGTATCGTCTCAATCGTGATCCTACCAGAATTAGGGTGGCTGTTTTGAAGCCAACAGGCAGCGCTGCTGGGACCACTGTGTGTAGTCACTGAACCACAGTTCCAAAGCGGTCCTGGGCATCCGGTGCCCGTGCCAAGTTCAGCACATCCGCCTTGTGTACAGTCACAGCCACCCAGATGCACGAGGTCCCTTGGCTCATTCACAATAAACGTGCCTGTAGGCCAGGGGTGGGGAGCCTGTTTTCTGCCAAGAGCCATTCGGATATTTATAACATCATTTGAAGGCCATACAAAATTATCAGCTTAAAAATTAGCCTGTGCAGGGGTGGGGGGCAAAAAAATATTAGTCTGTGCGGTTTAGTCAAACAATTAACAGCCCCCTAATGTGGTAGCTAGAACTGCTTTTCTTTGGTGAGGTGTGTGTTGATTTTGTATTGATGATTTCAAGGTATTGAAATTTCAACGGCCTGGTGTTGATGGTCTCAGGGTCGAATGTTCCCTGCCCTGGTCTATAAAGCCCTGGTCAGCTAATTTGTTTTCTGTTGTCTGTTTCTAAAAACTCAGTTTCCAAAACTAGTGGTGCTGTAAGAGTCTGGGTTGGGGTGTCTTTAATACCCATTAGGGGGAAATAAGGGTTACTTTTTCCTTACAAAAACAACACACACACACACAGTGTGTTAGTCTGGGTAGACTAGAAAAACAAATTCATAGACATGTGTATAAGAGAGAGCTTTATATACAAGAGCAGTTGAATATTGAGAAATATCCCAGCCCAATCCAGATCAAGTCCATAAGTCCGATATTAGCCCACATGTCTGATACCAATCTATAAAGTCCTCTTTAGACTCATGAAACACATGCAATGATGCTGAATGCAGGATGATCACGGGCCAGTGGTGGGCAGTCTTGTGGATCCAATGGCGTTGTAAGCATCTCTGTGCTGGCAGGGGTCTCCATGTGGCTCCTCCAGCTCAAGTCAGTAGTGTAGTTCCATGTCTTGTCAGCTGCGATGTCTCCCAGGGAGTCAGCGAGTGTTCCGCCTCCAGCAGGCTATTTATCTCCCTCTTGCCTCCAAATGAGATCATCAAGCTCCAATCTGATTGACAGGCTAAACTCCACCACTTCACTCTTAATCCTCTCAAATTGACAACAGGTTTTGTAACTGCCACACAGAGTCGCAAACACCTTTATAGGACCATGGTCACATGTGTAGTCATTCGTTGCCTAAACTGATGTTAAGCGACATGTCTGTCAGGGGCTGTAAAAACCACTTTTCCCACAAATGTTTGAAAACCTGCTTATGTATAACAGGCATTCCTCGAAATAAATAATTAATATTGTATTCATGGCTTAAAGATCCAGTATTTCCAAGAGGTCAGTTCTTAAGTAGTCTACACCATCAATTCAAACCCAATAAAAGTAGTCAACATTGAGTTTTCTTGGACATTGATAAGGTGATTATAAAAACGAGGTGGAAAGGAAGAGGAGGAACCAGGCTAATCTAGAAGAGGAATTGGAGCCTTATAGAGCCATCCTTTCTTAAGTGTAGAATAATAATGAAGTGACTCACTACCACTGACACTTGCTGAGTTGCAGCCCTATAGGACAGTGTAGAACTCCCCCTGTGAGTTTCTGAGACGGTAACTCTTTATGGGAGTAGAAAACACAGTCTCCTGAATGAAAATGCAGTACAGAGGACAACCTCTAGATAGAAACAAACTCGCGTGGTGTGGAAAAGAACACACCGCAGTAGGCTAATAGACTCTTTTCCATCTATTATTCCAGGTCAACTGACTATCCATATGGGAAAACAGCGGCGACGACCTCACAGTATTAACGGCAGGAGAACAAGAAACCCCGGACACTGAAAGACAGGACTCTTTTGCAAGGTCAGCCGTTCAAAACCACCAGCTGGTCTGAGGGAGAAAGGTGATGTAGGCAGACAGCATCCCTGGCCACCTTTCATGCCCTTTTTTCCCCTTCATGCCTTAAACAAACAAACAAACATATTTTCTAATTGTTTAATCATTTTGTCTCATGTCCTTTTTAATCCTTCCCTAGTTCTGCCTCTTCGGGCCTCGACATCACTAGAAAGCAGAAGCAAAATGAACATGTGCAAGGTGAGTAGAACTTGCCTTTCTCATTGTTAAAATCCTATCTCGTCACTCCCAACTGGACCTATTATTGGCTCTGTGGGGGAAACACTCAAGGTAAACAGCGAGCCTTTCAGGACAGTCTGGGTGCCCAGATACCTTGGTCTGTTGGAGTTTACACAGCGAACTGCTCGCCACAAGGCCAGTGCTTGGAACCCATGCTTCTCGTTGGAAGAAAGATGAAGCTGTTCACTCCGGTAAAGATGGACAGTGTCGGAAAACCCAGAGCAGTGTTCTCCATTCTCCTGTAGGGTCTCCGAGTGTCAGAATTGACTCACCGACAGTGAGTTTGATGTTCGGGTTTTCCAGTGTTTTCTGTTTATTGAGTCTCATTTCCAAACGAAGGTGAAACGAGGATGGAGAAGGCGCCATCCTCCCATTGTGCCGCTGTCCTCCGCACAAACTCGGCATCCCGATGTTCGCATTCCCGTTTCCTCGTGGACATTCCTATCTATTTGTCTCCGCGCTGCCCGCCTCGTTTTTAAGGGCGCTTTTGCGTCGGAGATTACATAACGCTTCTTTCTGATGTTCCCACGTCCACGTTCCCACTGAAGGTCCTTACTCGTATCCATCGAAGTGAGTGAGGCATTTTATTGTTTTAAGTAATCCTGCGGGGCTGGTACTCTATGCCAGTTGTAAGGCAGATAAGCCACTTCAAAAGGTGTTTTGTCGTCCTCCGTGTACTTGAGAGCTCCAGTTGACACATGAGCACATTGGACACATGGTACGTTGACTGTTTTGTAAAATAGCAGCTGTCCTCGAGTTGCTTCCGACCCCTGGTGACCCCAGGTCTTTCCGGGTTGAATGATACTCCAGAGGGGTTTTTCAGGGCTGGAACTTTCCAGAAGCAGATCCAACTCAAACTCACTGCCATTGAGCCCATTCCTAGTCAGAGTGACCCGTAGCACTGCCCCTGTGGGTTTCTTCGACGGTAACTGTTTACGGGAGTAGAAAGCCTCATCTTTCTCCCATGAAAAGGCTGGGGATTTCAAACTGCTGACCTTACGGTTAGCATCCAGCCCAACTTGTACCCTACTACGCACCATTAGAATAGTTAAGCCTTTTTTTTAACCTAGGACGCCTCTTTTTTCAACAATCATTTTATTGGGGGCTCATACAACTCTTATCACAATCCATCCATACATCAATTGTGTAAGGCACAGTTGTACATTCATTGCCCCTGGGGTGCCTCTTGATGGATTTGAACCGCCACCCTCCCTTGGGACCAGTTGACTGCAAACCTAGGGCCTCTCACCACCCCTCAGTTGTGATCATTTGTGAAAACATCTCACGGCACTCAAGAAAGGTGGCACAACTGGGCTGGGGGAAAGAGGTGTTCAAAAGTTCATGGAGAAATGGAATTAAGGGGTAATGGAATTTTCCACGACTCTTTGAAGCCCCACTGTACTTAAAATAACAGACCGATTGTAGCAGAGGCATATCAAACAGAACCAACCAGAGGAAGAGGCACACAGGCTGAGTCTTGGGAGCGTCCCCAAGACAAAGCTGTCACTGTCTGCAAGGACTCCTTTCTCTCCTGGCACATCGAAGTGTGACGATAACGCAGAATCTTGTCAGCTGGGAGAGGTTCATCTGACCTTCGGTGTCCAGAGTTTTTAATGAGATTTCCCTGCATGGGCCCAAGTGCCTGAACCAAGGCAAGTCCCACGTCCTGGAAGTGAGGGAGCTATCCCATGGCTCACACCTCTAAACTTCTTGTCCTCGGATGCATCTCTCTGGCTGTACAAAGAGATTTCCTGTCTCCATCTTGAATTACTTGGTAGACTAAGCAATCAAGTGTGGTCCCAGGTGCCCACGCTGAACAATGAAGACACTCCAGTCACTGGGAAAATGCCCAGGCTTCTAGGCTATGTTCGGAGCCCGGGTAGTGTAGTTGGTTGCTTTCTGGGCTGCTAACCACAGGGTCAGCAGTTTGAAACCCCCAGTAGCTCCATGGGAGACAGATGAGACTTTCTACTCCTGTAAAGAACTACAGTCTCTTCCACCCACATGACCAGTTCTAGGCTGCCCTACTGTGTCACCTGGAATCAGAATTGACTCGATGGCAGAGTTTGGTTTAGTGTATTGGCTTCATTTAGGAGCCAGGAACAAGCCAGCCAAATTCCTTGTTCCACATCTGGACTAATGTGCAGCCAAGAAATGGGACGAGAGAGATAACAAGAAAGAAAATAAGAAAAGTAGTTAATGTTTGTTAACTCCATCTGTGCCACAGTGTTCAAGAGCTATGTATAGGTAGTCGGGGTTCTGTTTCAATGACCTCATTGTATGGTTGATCTGTTCTTTTTGTTTGTTTGTTTGTTTTACTTTTTGTCAGGGCAGACTAGCCCCTAACACATCATCACGGGTCCAGTAAGCACAATTGTACAGCAACAATAAGATTATAGTAAAGTCCTAAAGAGCATGAGAGATAGAAGGGAGATTGAAATAATGGAGTCAGACACATTTCATGGTAGTATGCTCACCTCAGCCTCACTTGGTGGTCCACCTGGAAAGATATATTTATTGCTAACCAAGGCTTTTATATTCTCTGGGGACATGAAAGCTCCCTAATTACAGGTGAAGACATACATCACAGGAAAGGGTTGTGCTATAGGTAATATAGTAATGGGAGGGGGGTTATCTAGGGGTTCATACACTATTGGAAGAGGAGGGAATAAGGGTATACATGTGACAAGATGGGCGGACCCTAGATTCATGATGGCGCCTAACTTTGGATGTCACTGAGCAGGTTTGACCTGTTCTCTGGCTCACTATAGAAACCATAATCAGTAGGGTGTAAACCCACCCTGCAGGGACCAAACTGATGGCCACAAGCCTTTAGGGAGAAGTAGCCCATTATCCTTAACAACAGGGAGTGAGGCCTACCTATGGTGGGACCAGACAGTAGTCTGGCAACTGACTGCCTTCAGCGAGGTAACTTGACAATCATTTACCATGAGCGGCAAGCACTGTCCTAAGTCTAACATATATTTGGGGGAGTTGACTTGGGAGAATGCTTTCTGTTTCCCCCAACTTTTGGTGATCAATACTTTTGAAAATCCAATCATTGTCATTGGTGGTCAGTGTGAGACTGATACCATCCGCAGATTACACGCTGTAACCCTGCATGTTGTACATAGCGACTACGAGAAGCTGCAAAGGATGGTATTGACTGTAGTTCGCCAGGACTCAACTACAGAAGTCGGGGGCTACCTGTCCATTGTTTTGCCTACTCCCCCAAAGAACCCTGTAATGCAGGAACCATTCTACGCAGTAGTGTGGAGGTCCTTGTCCTGCGTGACACAGCAGGCCCTTGTTGGGGTGTTGGGTGGCTCCAAGCACTAAATCAAATGCTGCAGTTCAGAGCTGTGAAGTGCGACTTGGCCTTACAGGGGCCCAACAACAGACCGATCCAAGACAGGTTACCCAAACCTTGCCACCGTGTTTCCCCGAAAGTAAGACATCCCCCCAAGATAAGACCTACTTACAGTTTTGCCTCTCGCTGAAATATAAGGCACCCCCCCTCCCAGAAATAAGGCCCCCCCCCCAAGCTTCCGTAACTCTGGACTCTGGACCATAGCAGTGGGCGCCGCCGTGTGCAGCTCACTGTTGGCCGCAGCGCAGCCGGAGCAGACAGGAAGTGCGAGATCTCTTTTAATAAAACAATAAATGTGTACCGTATTCTTCTTCATAGAAAAATAAGACATCCCCTGAAAATAAGACCTAGTGCATCTTTGGGAGCAAAAATTAATATAAGACTGTCATATTTTCAGGGAAATAGGGTAGTTAGGCAGACCAGGAAACTGTCTGTAGTATATGGAAGAAGGTGCATGTTATCAAATTCGGTTGAAAAGAAATTGATAAAGGTTTCTGGGGTCATTGACCATAGGGCAACGTGTATCCTGGCATGCGCCACTGGAGAGCAATCGGGGTTTCGTTTGAAGACACCAAGTACAAATAGAAGCGCTTTTCTTCTTTGCCTCCACTTCCCCTGAAGCTGAGGAAAGGAGGGCATTGTCAAGATTCAAGATGGGTGGGGAGACCCACACCATGCCTCATCCCACACAATCTGGAATGACTCTTTCCCACCCCATCCTTCCAACCTAGCCAGTGTTTCCCCTTTTCTGGTGGATGGTACTTGTGCTTGATGTTATAGGAATCCGTGACATTCAAGGATGTGGCTGTGGTCTTCACCGAGGAGGAGCTGGGGCTGCTGGACCTTGCCCAGAGGAAGCTGTACCAGGATGTGATGCTGGAGAACTTCAGGAACCTGGTCTCTGTGGGTGAGGACGGCCTCTCTCTGGAGTCTCTGTATTTCCTCGGGTGTCCAAGGCTTTGGGGCTCCTAGAATGGTCACCGGATTTTGGGGAACTGACTCCTATCTACTTTTAAAAAAAATTGTTTATGAAACAAAATAGGGTAGAAAACACCAGAGTTTGTTCAGCATCCACTGACCAATCGTATGAATGGCTTGAGAGGCAGTAGAAGGAAATTTAATGAAATAAGACATTTGTCAGAAGTGGGTCAATCCATGTCTCAGTGATACATGGGGGCTTCAAATAGTTCATGGGGAAATGGAAGGAAAAAATTATACAGCACACTCACACCCACTTTTTCCGCCAGTCATTTTATTGGGGGCTCAATCCATACATACATCCATTGTGGCAAGCACATTTGTACATATATTGCCATCATCATTTCCAAAACATTTTCTACTTGAGCCCTTGGTATAAGCTCCTCTTTTTCTCCCTACCTCTCCCACCCTTATGAATCCTTGATCAATTATATATTATTATTTTGTATTTTACACTGTCCGTTGTCTCCCTTCACCCCCATTTCTGTTATTTGTCCCTTTAGGAAGGTGGTGGCTACATATCCAACCTTGTGATGGGTTCCTCCTTTCTCCCCCTTCCCCTCTGCAATCATCCCCCTACTCTCATGATATCACTACTCCCACTGCTGTTCCTGAGGGGTTTATCTGTCCTGAATTTCATGTGTCCAGAGCTCTTATCTGGACCAATGTGTGTTCTCCAGTCTAGCCAGATTTGTAAGGTAGATCTGGGTCATGGAGTGGGCGGGAGGAAGCATTCAGGAACTAGAAGAATGATGTGTGATTCATTGGTGCTATACTACACCTTGGTTGAATCATCCCTTCCTTATATAACCCTTTGATGTGGGGGGATATTCAGTTGTCTACAGATGGGCTTTGGGTTTCCACTCCAACCCCCCTCATTCACATCAATATAATTGTTTGTTTTGGATCTTTTGATACCTGATCCCGTCGATACCTCATGATCACACGGGCTGGTGTGCTTCTTCCATGTGGGCTTATTTGCTTCCCTGCTGGATGGCTGCTTGTTTCACCTTCAAGCCTTTAAGACCCTAGACGCGATAACCTTTGATAGCTGCGCACCATCCGCGCTCTTCGCTTCTTTTCACCTCTCTTCACCACATTTGGTGCACCCCTTTTGTCTTCTGCAATCGTGTCACACACCCACTTTGTGAAGCCCCCTTGTATTTATGTACTTACGGAAATGTGTCTGGGACTATTTCTTCAAGTTGGCCAAGTTAGGAAAAAATGTTTGAGAAACTGCCTTTGATTAGTTGTCGAGTGTCAGCAGGGTCCACATTTTTTTTTGGTGCTGAAAAGGGTCCACATTTTCTATAAATTGTGCTGTTGGTGTGTGCAGTTGAATATGTATGTATGAGTATGTGGTGGTCAATTTGGCTAGTCTGTGATTCCCAGTTTTTTGTCCAAACGATCTGTCTAGCTGATGTCATGGAGTGATATGTGATTAAAGCTTTTGGTGTTGAGTAGATCCTATTACCGTCCATGATGTAATCTAATGTATTGTCACCCACCAGTCAGTTGAAATAGATGTATTCTGAAATAGATGAAATAGAAATATTCTGCTCCGCAGTTGTAAATGGAGATGTCTTCCCACCGGGGAAGACATATGTCACTTGGGAATCCTGTATAAGTCAGGGAATGCCAAGATACCAAGGAATGCCCAGGCCTATCAATAAAGAAGAAATTGACCTGGCCAAGACTCCTGTGTGCTTACAGCCTCCAGAACTATCGCAAAGAAATCTGGATTGTTGAAGCCATCCACGTGGGGTGTTTTACAGTAGCCCGAGTGACAAAGGAAACACTGGTCTTCTGTGGTCACTATCACATGCCATCACAAACTAGGTGGATTTGTGAGCAGACATTTATTGTTTCAAGTGCTGGAGGCCAGAACCCCAGAATCAAATTGGCATGTGAGTGGACGGCTCTTCTTCAGGGTCTCTATTGGAGGAGGTTTTCTCCTCCCTGTCACCCTCTGCTAGCCTCTTGCAGCTGCAGTGTGGGAATGCCTTTCACTAAGACATCGCTCCTTTGCCTTAGGACCTACCCAGTCTGTCTTCTAGCGTCCAGGTATCTTGGGGTGCTAGCCAACAGGTCAGCGGTTTGAATCCACCAGCCACTCCCAGGGAGAAAGGTTTGCAGGCTTCTGTCAAGATTAACAGTCTCGGGAACCCTAAAAAGCAGATGGATGCAGTCCCGTAGGGTGCTGTGAGCCAGAATGGACTCGATGGCCCTGGTTGTCCATCTTCAAAGACCTTTCCAAAAAAGGTCAGGTTCACAAGTCCCAGGGATTGTACGCAACATACATTTGTGGGGGCCACAGTTCCAGCCACCACAGTATAGCCATAAACACATAGATACTTGATTTTTCAGATATGATGCTTAAACTCAAGTAATAATTTTATTACTGCTTTTCTTATAGTTCCTGTTGATTCCTATTTTTTTCTATCCATTTTTTTGCCAGTTGGATTTATACTGTGATACATACATGACATATTTGCCATTACAACCATTTTACCTGTATAGTTCTGCAATACTAATCATGTTTACATGCACCCCAATTTTTCATCCGAATTAAAAAGTAAAAAAATGTAAAGCACTTCACAGAAACGAGTGCCCCTTAATAACACCTCTTGTTCCCCCACCTGCCCCTGGTAGCTACTAATAAACTTTGCCCTTTATACATTCGTCTATTTGAGGTACTTCCTATAGGTGGAACCATACAACATTTGTCATTTTGTGTCCAACTTATTTCGTTCAGCATATTGTTTTCAAGATTCATCCTATCATTCTTCTTTATGCTGGGATAATATTCCATGGAATGGATAGACCTTCTGTTGTTCAGCTATTCGTCTAGTGATCGACAGTTGAGATGTTTCCACCATTTGGCTCTTGTAAATCGTGCTGCAGTGAACACTGATATCCAACTACGTGAGTCCCGGCTTGGAAGTCTTTTGGGGAAACATATACTTAGGAATTGCTGGGCCAAATGGTTGCTGCTTCTGTTTAACTTTTTCAGGAGCCACCAGACGGTTTCTTACAGTGGAAGGGTCATTTTTTTTACAGCCCTCCCAATGATACACGAGGGTGCTAACATCTTTGCTCCCTCATTAAAAATTATTTTCTTTTTTGTCTGGTAATAGTGAGGCTGCAGTGGGTTTTACTGTGGTTTTGCTTTCCTTTCCCGACTGACGTGGGGCATCTCATGCCCACGGTCATTTGTTTGTCTATCCAAATCCTTTGTCCATTTTTAAGAATTGGGTTATTGTTGTTTTTCTGTTGATGAGCGGCAGGAGTCCTGTTAATGTGCCATTAACTCCTTATCAGGTCCATGGTTCCTAAGTTCTCCCCCATTCCACGGGTTGCTTCTTTATGTTGTTGATAACGTCCTTTGATGCACAAAGTTTTTTAAATTCAATGAAGTCCAGTTTATTTGCCCTATATACTTGAGTATAAGTTGAGGCACCTAATTTTACCACACTGGGGGGCTTTTCAGCATAAAAATATACTGAAAGTGGAGGGAGGGTGGGGTGGAAAGGGGGAACCGATTACAAGGATCTACATATAACCTCCTCCCTGGGGGATGAACAACAGAAAAGTGGATGAAGGGAGACGTTGGGCAGTGTAAGATATGACAAAATAATAATAATTTATAAATTATCAAGGGTTCAGGAGGGAGTAGGAAGGGAGGGGGGGAAATGAGTTGATACCAAAGGCTCAAGTAGAAAGCAAATATTTTGAGAATGATGAGGGCAACAAATGTACAAATGTGCTTGACACGATGGCTGGATGGCTGGATGGATTGTGATGAGTTGTACGAGCCCCCAATAAAATGATTTTTTTTAAGTGCTGAAAAGAACTCGGCTTGTACTCGAGTCTCTGCGGTATTTCTCTCTTGTCGCTCCTGCTTTTGGTGTCCGGTTGTGGAACACGTTGTTGCTGAATGACCTCTGTTTTGTTCCAAGAGTTTTGTGGGTTTTGGGTCCTTGACACGTTTTGAATTCATTTCTGTATATGGTGTGAGGTGTGGGTCCAGCTTCATTCTTTTACAGAGGACCTGTAGTTGTCCCAGCCATATCTGTATACTTTTTTACTTTGAAACTTCACCATAAAGGCTTGGTGCTGACTTTAAAATTCAGTAGCAGTCACAACGGGTTAACAGTCTGTATCATTTCACTGGATGTTTCTCCTTCCTGTATGAAGCCCTTGGTGTCTAACTTCTCCGTCCTCTAGAAGATTGGTCTAACAGGTCTCTTTAAGGCTTAGCGAATAGGAGCCCACTGGGCCACCTTTTCACTTCTGTAGGCCTGTAAGCCAGAGCACAGTTTACACAGTGGAAGAGTGGAACCGAGTCCTTCCTGGGTGTGTTAGCGTCTCAGGCTCTGTCCTAAGTGTGAACTGTTGAAACCTCTGAACAAAGCTTTCACTTGTCCACATTTCTGAATTCTCTGTCGTCACAGGAGACCAAATCCAAAGTGAGAAGAAGACTGCTCCTGAAGCAGGGCTGCAGGAAGAGCTTTCCTACTGGCGAAACTTAACAAAGTCCCAAGGCCCCAGGAGAAGTAATTCTCAGCTCCTCAATCAGGATGATTCGGCCAGCCAATTGGGGGCAGGACTATCGATGATCCACATGTCAGAGAAGCCTTATCAGTGTCATAAGCATCCAGAATCCTTTGGCGATGTCTCCAGCTTTGACCTTCATCAGCAATTACACTCGGGAGAGAAGACCCCCACGCGTAGTGAGTGTGGGAAAGGCTTCCATCACGGCGCCGTTGTTCATGTGCCTCAGGAAGCTCGCACAGGGGAGAGATGCTGCAAGTGCAGCAACTGTGATAAGGAATGCAGTCTGAGCTCACATCTACAAACTCACCCCAAAGCTCACACTGTAGACAACCCACACCAATATGAGGCGTATGAGAAAGGCTTCCGTCCTAGATTTGGACTAAATGTTCATTGCAACGTCCACCCCGGACAGAAACCTTACCGTTGTGAGGAATGTGGGAGAGCCTTCATTTATGCTTCCCATCTTCGGGAACACCAGAGAATCCACACTGGAGAGAAGCCTTTCAAGTGCGACAAATGCGGCGAGAACTTTCGTCGTAGATCAACGCTGAATATCCACTCCATGCTCCACACGGGGGAAAAACCGCACAAGTGCGCCGTGTGTGGGAAGGACTTCCGTCAGTCCGCTGGGCTTCGGACCCATCAGAGGATCCACAGCGGTGAGAAACCCTTCGTATGTGAAGTGTGCGGGAAAAACTTCATTCAGCGCTCACACCTCCGGTCCCACCTGGGCGTGCACACAGCAGAGAAGCCGTACAAATGCGTCCTGTGTGGGAAGAGCTTTATGATGAAATACAATTATGAATTTCATCTGGTCGTCCACACCGGAGACAAACCCTATAAATGTGAAGTGTGTGGGAGGCGCTTTAGCCGTCGAGGAGACTATAATATCCACTGTAGAATCCACACGGGCGAGAAACCTTATACTTGTGAGGCGTGTGGGAAGGACTTCAGCCGAAGATCGGCACTGAAAGTGCATTGCCGGGTGCACACAGGAGAGAAACCATACAACTGTGAGGAGTGCGGGAAGTGCTTCATCCGTCGGTCAGAACTGAACGTGCACTCCAAAGTCCACAGAGGGGAGAAACCTTATCATTGTGGCGCATGTGGCAGGGCCTTCATTCAGGCCGCCCGCTTCCGGGAGCATCAGCGCATCCACACTGGGGAGAAGCCGTTCAAATGCGAGACGTGCGGGAAACACTTCCATTTAAAATCCACACTTTATAACCACAGCAAAATCCACACCGGAGAACAGCCGTACAAGTGCGAGGAGTGTGGGAAGGGCTTCAACTTTCCCTCCAAGCTGTATGTCCATAAGAGCGTCCACACTGGAGAGAAACCCTACAGTTGTGTGGAGTGTGGGAAGCGCTTTAGTCGGGGTTCGTATCTTCGGAAACACCAGAGAGTCCACAGTGGGGAAAAGCCACTCAAATGCCAGCAGTGGAAAGACCTTTGGCCAGAGTTCCCCCATCCAGTCCCACCAGAGGGTTCCCAATGGGGAAAGGCTGTGCAGATATGAAGGGTTTGGGGGGGCGTTTCAACTGAATCTTGAATCTTGATCACCAAGAGGGTCCACAGAGAGGAGGGGTCAATGATTGTGCCTCAGGTCATCCACTCAGTCATAGTGCCCACAGGGGAGAGAGCCAGTAAGATGTTCAGTTAAAACGTCATCATTTTTCCGCATCCAGACTGGAGAGACACCTTACAAACGGGAGGCATAGGCTTAGCACTTCCCATTGAGCTCATGTTTTTCCAAGTCATCAGAGACCACATCTAGAAGGAAAATCATGGCCGGCACGTTGGCTCCCTCCCATGGCAGCCCCACGCATTACAGAGGAGAATTGTGCAGTAGGGTCTATGTGGCTGTAAGGGACCCCGAGGGCTCAGTGCTTAAGCCATGGGCTGCTAATGGCTTAAACCCACCAGCTGTGAAATAGGGGGAAAGACTTGGCAGTCTGGTCCCATAAAGGTTACAGCCTAGACTTCCCTGTGGGGAAGCGCTCCCCTGCCCTATAGGGTTGCCATGAGTCAGGAGAGACGCAGCAGCACACAGGGGTATCCACAGAAGCAGCTAGCAGGCCTCTTGCGCAGCACCAATAGATGGGTTTGAACTTCCTGCTTGCGGTCTAAAAGTTGAGTTCAAACAACTTGTGCCATTCGGAGGCCTGCAAAGAATTTGCGGTGGTGATAATTTTTGTATCACTGAGGCATGCCAGAAACGGCCAGGGATAGTCAAGAGTCAAGAAATTCTGTGGAATGGTTGCTTAAAAACATTTAGTCGACCTGAGCTATTGTTATCATGAGGTCTCCTGGGTGTGAAAACATTTGTTTCATGAAAGTCAAGTGTTTCAGCCATAGCTCAACACATCCCAGTGGTCTAGACCCCCACACCAGAGCAGAGCCTTTGTAAATGGTGCAGCAGAGGCTTATCACCGAATCTTGACAGCTCTCCCATACAGGTATCGGGCAACTTACCACATCCTCTAGTGACGCCGAGCCACACTTTGATGTTTATGATTTGGGTATAGCTTAACATTAGTAATCGGTCCTTCATACAATGCCGCAGCACACAGTTTCCTGATGTTATTTGTCCATGTTCAAAGACTGGATCTGTATGATAAAAACAGGCAATAATAAAAAGAGGTGGTTTGGTTTACGTCTGGATTGGCTTACGATTCGTCTCGACAGATTGGTGCCCCCTTGTCAGTCAGGATTCTCAGCCTCACTTCGAAAGACCAAGTTCAAACCAAACTCACTGCCATCCAATGGATGCTGACTTATGGCTACCCTATATGACCGCGTGAAACTGCCCGTGAGTTTTTGAGACAGGGAGAGTACAAGCGTTGAGAACCCTGTGTGTCTCCCAAGGAGCGGCTAATGGTTTCAGACTGCTGACCTCACAGCGGTCCACTGTATAACCACTTTGCCACCTGGGCTCCTGCGGGCAGACTAAGAGTGTGTGGTCTTATCTTGACAAGTGTAATGATGGACACCAGTCTCCGCCTCCTCTGGGATGTGAGCTTCCTGAGGGCAGGCCCTTCACTGCTGACTCTAACAGCCTTAACATTGACCCGAGCTTTGTCCGTGTGTGCAGCCCTCGTTTGTTACGTGACTCAGAAGGAGAAAATGTGCAATATTTCAAAGTTGGAGCCGGAAGAAGAAAAAAGGGGTGGGGCTGGGGAGATGAGATCCAGGGAAGTAACCATTGGAATTCAGAAAACCACTTGGTACGGGAACCCACAAGATTATGTTGATACTCGCTTACTGTGTTTGGCTCCTCTCCGTTCTCAGCCTCTGTTCTTGAGTTGAGGGTCTTTACTTAGGTCTGTGTAGACACGTGATAACAGAACATACGAGGGAGCTGGGTGCTTGGGGCAGATTAGAATTGCACCTAAAGGCTACCTTGTGTGTATACCCCGCCTTCCCCCCGCTCTCCCCTGCCAGACCCAATACAAGGCTGAAAAGCTTTGTTCACCTTCCAGTAGCAAGACACTGCATACTAAACCTTTGGGTATTTTTTTCAGTGATGTTAACATAGGGTTGTATTTTAACACCTGGGAAGTGTAAGTAGCAGTTGCTCATGACAAACATGATCTTGCCTTGGCCACTAACTTCTGAATCTCTGCATTTCCATGATAAGACTGGATATTCAATTGCATCATTTCTTTCAGGGAAACCAAGCAGGGGCTGGACTAACTTTTGGGAATTTCATCAACTGTATCCCTTGGGCTGGAACTGACATGCTGTTTCTGTTGGTGGCAGTGAACGCATAGCTTGCCAGATAGGAGCGCCTCAGAATGCACCATTTACATATCTGATCCAGAAATCTCAGGACGGGATTTAGGAAGTTAAGCCACTGAAACCAGAGTAACCCATCCATGGTGCCCCCCGATGTTTTATTGGGATTGAACACATTCACTATTAGGAATCAGAGTTTGGCTAGATTTCTGTAATAGTATGAAACCATTAGCTCATAATTTCCCAAACTTAATTTGGCCCACTCAGTCCTTCCTGCCTCCCCACTCCCCACAACAATTAAAAGCATTGTACGATAGCCCTGTAATCCAGGATAAAATGTGGGTATTACTTTCCCAGTTCCCCTCTAGGGGGCGGTATCACTCTGGGAATGCTGCAGTGGAATGGTGGTCTCTTTTTCACTGCCACTGAGTTGATCCCAGCTCATCGTGACCCTGTAAGACAGGGTAGAACTGCCCTGTGGCTTATGAGACCATAACTTTATGGGAATAGAAAGCCCCATCTTTCTCCCATGGAGTGGCTGATGGTTTCAAACTATGGACCTTGTAGACTGCAACCCGACTCATAACCACTATGCCACCAGGGATCCTGATGGTGTGGACATGTAATAATAGAATATAATAGGCAATTGGGCAATCATAGCCCTCATTACATCGTCAAACCCATGCATCACTCTCTCTCCCTCTCCATTGTTTCTTTTCCCCTCTTCCTTCTCCCCCTCTCTTTCCATCTTTACGTGTGTGTGTTTGTACACATGCATGAGGTCATGTGTAAAGGGATATTCCCCTTAATGGTTTTGTTTACAGGCAGCATTTTGGGGGCATTTTTTTTTCCAATTCCTACTTCAATACATTATATGAGTTTCCAGTGAGAATTCGTTACCAAAGCACACAATCACGGATGATTGACATGATGTCAAATAGTAGCAGGAATTAGCATGTTGTCTTTAACCTAGAGACTTGGCGGTACAGCAGGCTCCTGTAATAGGGCCTTGCTGCCTTGGCTCTCTGGCGAAAGCAGCTAAGGAGATTCCCCTTAAGCCTTGAAGAGTTATCTTTGCTATAGTTCTTTGGGGATACGACTTGGGTGCCTTCCCAGGCTCCTTTCTACCCCAAAGGTTGATTGTTTTGCCCAGGTCTCTGGCAGCAAGACCCGAGTTGACTGAGGGACTGGTTGGGCTCTGGTATGATGAGAGAGGCCCCCGGCTGTAACGATGAGGATCAGGAACATAAAGCAGCGCTGCAGAGGCTTTAGAGAGGCCTCCTGGCTTCCCGAAATTCAAAGAGCTCTGCTGACAGAGAAGCAGCCATATGGAAGCCCGGTGTTCCCAGCACTGCACCAGGGGCTATGAGCTATGAACTATGAGTTAGGCAAGACCGAGAGGGAAGGGGCCTGATGGCAGTCAACAACTAAGAGTGAAGGTAGGCGCTACACGGACTGTGAGCTGGACCAGTGAGCGCGGAGCCAGCGGAGAAGAGGCCTGAGCAGAAAGCAACTGAAGGACCCGAGTGAGCAGCTCTCCTGGTTGTGGGCTCGGCCAATTTACAGCAACGGCTAATTAGAGATAGCCTGGTACGCCCCTCAGAAGGCCCAGAATCCAAGAGCTGATTGAGCCGCTCCACTGGACACGATCTAGGCTAGGTAGTGGTGGAGCGACCAGATGGCCCCCAGAGGTTGAGAAAACCCTGGGTCTATAGCTTTCCTGCACCCAAGAAGGGAGGGAGGGCAAAGCGCTTCACTTAGGGACCTGTCCAGGCCTTAGCTGTGGGGTTTCCTGATCCCGGTGCCAGATTTGTTCCTGTTCCTTCTAAGTTGATCCTGATCCCGAGCCGCAGCCTGTTACTTCGGTGATAAACCACATCACTGTGAGAATGGGCCGTGAGTTCTGTGTAGCCATGGCAACGAATGATGGACCCCAGCAGAGAAGTAGCAGACCATGGTTGTCGGAAAAGGTGGTGGCCAAGTGGGAGAGCAGAGAGTCATTTCACCAGCACCAGCTTTGTGCTGATCCCGATCCTTGGTCTTCGTGCGTTTCGAGAAATCATCGTGCTGTGTTACAGACTCAGGGTATGAGATACAGATCATCGGATGGCATATACGATCCAGTTAGGGAAGCGGACTCAGGAAGTCAATTTTAAGAATTAAAAGCATCTGGTGGCTGAATTGCCCAGCTAAGTGCCTCAGTATGAGCAAGTGTTTCTTCTTCAGTATAAATGCGTGTGGGTCTTCACTAGGCAAAAAGCCGTAAGTGGGTGGGACATGCCTGCAGATACAAACAACAGGGGCATGCGGATGTTGGGAAGGTAAAAAGAAATCAACAAAAGAAGACTCGAGAAAAAGATGCCTAGTGAGGGGACATCACACGACAGCAGCAGAGCCACTTGGGATGTGGACTCCGTAGGAACCTAAGTTTACATGCCCTACCATGCGCCTTCTGAACTTGGATTTAGGTCATTTTGTTTTGGTCTTTGTTTGAAATGAATTTGTCTATCACTAAAGCCCATTTCAGATTTACTATTTAGCTTTTAAAAAAAAGATCACTAGTTAGGTTTAAAGAAAAAAAATCTGGGTTTGGGGGAGATTTATTTTTTCTTTAAAGAGACACACTGTACATATTTACACAGCCCGTCTCAAGAACTGAAAGCAACAATAACCTGTTAAGCTGCCCTTGTATGTGGTTCTCTTTCTCCCCCTCTGCGGTCCTTCCTTAATAGCCCATCCCTCCCCTCTTCTTGTTGATTATCTGATTGAGGACCTAGGTTTTCACAGTTGTCCTTGTGGACCGCCGTTTCAGAGAACAGTGCTGGTAGCACCTGGGTGTTTCCCGTCCGTTGTGCCTGTTTCTGATGCTCACAAGCAGGGAATGAGGACTGTCCTGTTTTTATTTTATTTTATTCTTAAATCATTTTATTGGGGGCTTGTACAACTCTTATCACCATCTATCCATCCATCCATCCATCCATCCATCCATCCATCCATCCATCCATCCATCCATCCATCATGTCAAGCACATTTGTACATATGTTGCCATCATCATTCTCAAAACATTTGCTTTCTACTTGAGCCCTTGCTATCAGCTCCTCATTTTTTCCCCTCCCTCCCTGGACTGTCCTGTTTTTAATGTTACTTGGTCATGCCCCCCAAGTGCATGGGCCTCCTGGCCTCCACTCGCACCACGTTCAGGACTGGAACACTAGCTCTCTCCCTATAGCACTGTTAAGAGTCGATTGACTCAGCAGGGAGGGAGGGACGGAGGGAGGGAATGAGTCCCTAATTCTTTTCCCCCTGCTTTGTGTTCCAACTGGACACAGTTCACTTTCCTGTTTTCCATTGCTTGCCCCTCCTAGCTTCCCTCTCTCTGCTTTGCGTGTGACTACATGTGGACACATGAGGCGACAGGGGTACAGAATAGCATCCTTCGTGTGGGACATACGAGGGAGCTTCCCCCCACATATTGACTGGATATCTATGTAAGGAGTTGATCTAATACTACAATCGCTCCTCTTTCATTGCACAGTCTGAATTTCAAGTCTAAAGCAACCATACTGTGAATATCTTGTCTAAAGTTACCAAAAAGGTCCACAGGTGGGCAGCTGCGAACACTGAACATTCCTTACAGTTTGGGGGAAGTCCAAATGTGGGGGTAGACTCTAGAGAAGGGCCTCTTTTGTGTCTTTCAACTGCCACGCGTTGCTGGTGATCCTCCGTGTGCCTCGCCCTGTCAAGCCATCCGTCCAACGTCACGTGACACATCCTACTGGATGTCTGAGGCTGCTCCTTTGATAAGACCCACACTAATCTGGTAATCATGCAGGGCACGTGGCACTGTCAGCCAAGTGTTGAACTGCTAACTTCAAGGTCAATGATTCAAGGCTCCCAGCTGCATTTCCAGAGAGAGAG